CCACAGGAACTTCAAGCTGTTTCTATCTTCTGGCCGGATGCGAACTTGCAGGAACATTTCCTTTATGTCGGCTGCCACTGCAAACGGGCCTTGCCGGAACCTCAGTAACACCCCGAAGAGCGATTGCAGTAGGTCTGGTCCCGGTAGTAAAGCGTCGTTGAGGCTTCTCCCTTTAGACTTGGCTGCAGCGTCGAAGACGATCCTTATTTTCTTCTTCAATGGATGTACCACGGAGAAATGAGGGAGGTACCATGTCTTCTTTGAATCTTCTTGTCCACCAGGTGCTTCTTCTGCATACTTGCTGTCGATTAGATGCTGGATCTGCTTATTGTATTCTGCCTTCAGCTGAGGGTCTTTGTCTATCTTCTTTTCAATGTTGAACAATCGGTTCTTGGCAGACGTGTAGCTTTCAGGCATCTGTTCATCTTCATTTTTCCATAGAAGTCCAGCTTCAAATCGACCATCTTCTAGTCTTCTGCAGGTCTTCTCTAGGATGGTGAGTGCTCTTCCTTCTGAATCCGTAGTGGGTCTTCTTGGTAGTACTCCAAGTGCTTCGATTGCGAAGTGATCCTTGATGGCTTGATGCATCTCTTCTTCTGGCGTGCTGACATGTAGACACGTGTTTAAGAAGTGCACCACTTTCGCGCCTCCAGTGTCTGACCCGTGGAGCACCCATCCAAGTCCTGTTCTTGAAGCGACTGGTTGTCCTGGTTTCCCTCTTCTTACTTCTTGAGTCACGATTAGCTCCCAGTTGTCTTGACCGATGAGCAGCTGTGGTGACTCCCCCTTATAATATAGAGAGTCAGCAATCTTCTTCAAGTGTTGACACTCTTCTATCCTTTTCTTTTCTAGGAACTGCGGTGCAAGCTTCAACTCTTCGATGGTCCGGACTCTTCTCAAGGTCTTCTTGGTCTTCTGATGAATCCCCTTCACCGTAAGGTCAAGCATCTGAGAGTCTTCCTTCCTTATCAGCCTGCCTCCAACAGTCTCGATGACCAGTTCCTCCTTTCTTCCTTGAGCGCCGATTTCTTCTGCTACCTTCTGGTCTAGCAGCGACACTGTTGACCCTTCATCCATGAGGGCCAATATCTTCTTTGATCCTTTTGACCCGAAGATTTCTATCGGAATTATCTTCAGGTATGCCCTTGCGTTGTTGACCGCATTCACCGATGCCATGATGCTCGCCACTTCTTGTGGTTTGTTCTTCTGTTCTTCCGAGGAACTTTTCTCTGTCTCGACGTGCAGCAGATGATGATGCCACCTCTTGCATTCCTTGCACGACGGCTTCTTGCAGCTCTCCTTCCGATGTGTCCCTTGTAAACATTTGAAGCAAACGCGGCTTTTCTTCACTATTGCCCATCGATCTTGCACAGACGCCTTCAGGAACTTCTGACACCCGACGAGGAAGTGTTCACCCTCACACATGGGGCAAGTCTTCTCTGATCTTGAAACCTTTTCTTTGAAGTCCTTTTCCTTAGTTGAATGCGTTGCTTGTCGATAAGTCCGTCTGAACCCGCTCTTCTCTTCTGTTGATGCATAGGCTCCACACTTGTCTGCTTCTCTGTTCAGGAACTTGGACACCAGTGTTAGGTCGGAGAACTCGCCTTCTGTTGTTTCAATGAAGTCGTACCATCGGAACTTGAGGATCGTAGGCATCTTCTCAATAATTTGTTTCACCATCTCAGGTGAATGCAGGTACTGTGGTTTCTTCAATCCTTTTATTGCCGCTACGCTGTTGCTGATCTGGCTCGCGAAGAGGCATATGTCCCTTGGGTTTTCAGAAATCTTCGGCAACGTTTTGACCTTGTCCAACTCTGCCAGCACCAGTGCATCTGGTCTTCCATATCTTCTTCTGAGGGCTTGAATCACTTCCATCGGAGAGGCTTCGGAGTACAGCAGACTCTTGATAGCTTCTCTTGCGTTGCCCTTCAGTGCTCTTCTTAGCCGAGCCATATTCTGGACGTTGTTGAACATCGGTGCTGTATCTTCATAGACAACCTTGAAGGCCATCCACTCGCTGCTGTTGCCGTCGAAGTAGGGTAACTCGTGAATGTAGGTTGGCTGTCCTGCTGGTCCTCGCGTGGTAAGAGCTTCCTTCAATGCTACCGTCAGTGCTTGAATTTCAATCGTAGCTCCTCTCGTTGAGGAGTTCTCTTCAGGCTTCATCTTCTGTGGCTCTTCCAAGGGGTGTGGACCTCGCATCTCTGGTTGAACTTTGTTGCCATCCTCCAGCACAGACGTCTCGATCCAGTTCTGCACCTGTGCTGTTCTGTCTTCCAGGTCTTCATCCACGGAGTCCTCTTCTTCACACTGTGCCATCTCCAATCTGACACGGGCTAGCTTAGTTTCAGCCTGTGCTTGCTTCAACTCCAGGCGTGCCAACTCTTCCTTTGCTTCTAGCTCGCGTCTTCTGGCCGAGGAACTCGTGGTCTTCGTGGACCTGGCGCGACGACTGACCCCCATCGGTTTCAGGGTCTTGGAGGAGCCTTGAACATCCTTTCCAGGTACATCTTCTTGGCTCTTCCTGGTCATCCTCTGTGCAGCATCTTCTTTGTTGCCTTCCATAGACGCCGCCGTAGTTGCAGTCGTAACCGTAGTCTCCGTCACTGTGGTGCCCTCCGTGGTCGTGGTACCCGAAGAAGTGTTCGATGTAGTTGCAGTTCCCGATGACGCCGACGCTGACGTGACCCCTTCTGATCCCGACTTTCCATCTGTCGCGTCCCTATCTGAAGGACGGGACCCGGGACGTGAGGGGGCATCCTTCTGCGACCTGGTTACCGGCATCTTGAACGCAATCTTCTGTTTCTTCTGAACTTCTTCTAGCAGGGATCCGGCTCGAAGGACCAACTGTTTCGGACGACCAGAACCAGGGTATGTCTAGTACCCGGAGGTCGACCTGGGACAATCTCCCAGACGTTCTTGGCGTACACGGCAGTATGTCCGTTCGCTGGTAATGTACGCCACCACGCACCCCTGAATGCGTAGCTTGGGTCCCGATCCACTAGGGTTTCTTCGTTGACAGGAGACTATACTTAGAGGCGATGAAATAAAACACAATTTTTCCTTTTTTCTCTCTTGGTTTCGGTTCTTCCTTTTCCTTTTAGTTGTTGCCTCTTCGGTGGCTGTCTTGCGACTGACTCGAATCGAGAAATGGCTCGCCTTTTATTTGGCCCGTTAATACCTTACAGAGAGCCGCGTACTTTGAGCTCATTTTTCGAGTAAAATTTCCCTAAACCGAAACCTTGAGAGTCCTTTTATTTTATGTTTTCAGTAAAACACCTTACACATATTTATTTATTTACATGCCTTACATACTATTATACAATATTAAAACATAATATTCAATATATAATAATTAATTAAAAAAGTCTTAAAACAAAAATATCTAAATTTCTAGGTTGCTACATTTTTACTATACATTTTCCCTTATAACTTTTGAACGGATAGTCCTATCGACCTAATTCTTGTTTTATTATAAGTTTTATAATAAAATCTATTATTTAAAACATAAACTATTATGCTATTGCAAGAAACAAAAAATCTCATTTTCAAGTTACGTAATTATATGCTAACATTTTACTTACGTACCTATTCCTTTCAAATTAATGTTAAATAGTCTTATATGATTCAAATAAGCAAAAAATACTCTAAACTAACCTTATTACACTAATTAGAACTTATTTTAACATAATAAATCTAATAAGAATGAGATTTCATATTTACAACAATTATTCATAATACGCTAAAATGACATTGTCCCTATATTAATACACACGTTACTCGAAGATAAGTTTTCCGTCGCCGACATCTTTGTGCAAAAGCGCGGGAAAACAAATGAATATCTATCGGCCAAGGTCACATAAGTAAATGCCTTATACATAAATCATTACAAATTAATCAAATATTATATTATTTTCTATTAAAACACTCAATATATAAAAATGCAAGCTTACAATAGGTAGAGTCCTTTAAAGGTAAGGTAGAGATTAGACAACAGACGAATGGTCGGAAAGTTTCATTCTGACTTTTCGAAACTGTTAATTAACAAATATTATAAATCAAAAGCCTTACAGCAAGCGTAGCGTAGTAACATGTATCATGAAATTTTGAAATCAGAATTTTTTTGGTTAAAAATAGTGTTTTACTCATAAATCACTGTTAATTTCATCTATGAAATAAACATGAATAATTTTAAGACGATCTAAAGTCTGATTAAATTCATTTGCATACATTCGTGATGAAAGTTACGTTGAAAAACAATTTGTATGTCAAAAATTATTTTGACATGCATCGGTGAAATTTTTGTGGTACACATTCTCGTCTTTTTACCTACTAAAGCTCATATTGTGCCAAAATATAAGAACCCATTAAATAAAAAATAAAAAAAAATAACATATGTTTGCATTACCAAAGTGGAGTGCAAATATTATTATTCTGATAAGTTTATTTAGATTAACTTCTTATCACCTCCAGGTAAATTTCTGAGAAATTAATTAAAATTCTAAGAAATCTATTGTTAACTGACACGCCGGCGTGTCCACGGTCGTGGAGGGATTAAATGAATGAATGAAATCAGACTTTATTCAAATAGACTTATTATAAGCACTTTTGAATCGTCAATTTAATTTAAAGAGCGTCAATGTAGTGTAAAGTATATCGATTTTTTATATATAGATATTAATCAACAACTTTATATCCATATTTTAAATTACGCTATACGGGCAAACTTCCTCTCCCCTCGATTTCCTTCCTTTAATAAAACGAGGTAAATTATTTCCCGTCTATAAAAAAGGGAGGAGTAATATCTTCAATCAGTAAAACTGACACAATTATTTTGCATTTCATTTCCTTAATATTATGTTTATGAAATGAGTTTCGTGCCTGTAAAATTATAAGAGAAAAGGTTAATTTTAAAAGGTTAATTGGAAAAGAGATCAAAAAATATTTGAAAATATTTAAAGAGCTAGGGCATTAATGTTATACTATGTATTATTTTTCAGTAAGGACTGCGTCATGCCGATGATACCTCTCGGTCTGAAAGAGACCAAGGAGGTGGACTTCCGAGAACCCTTCAAAGACTTCATTCTGGAGCACTACAGCGAAAACGCGGCCGTGTACGAGGACTCGATCTCAGATTTTATGGATATGAGACAGGTGATTTAACATTTCATGATTATTATATACTAGAGACTTATTATTAAATATTTACATTCTCTCTATCAAATTAGTATATCGGAAATATCAGAACACTCGGTTGTGCATTGCCCAAGTTCAAAATGAACAAAACATTCAAAATGTTTATATGTATTTTGTTTTAAGGCGATCCGCACTCCAGTACGCTCGACAGCTGGCGTAGCACTGTTGTTCAAGTACTACAACCAGCTGTACTACATAGAGAGGCGGTTCTTCCCCCCCGACCGATCACTTGGCGTCTATTTTGAATGGTTCGATTCGTTAACAGGTAAATATTTGTAAAATTAGTTAATAATAATCTTTTCATAGATTCATATTATAAAAAGTACTTTTTTGTGCCCAAAAGTTGACGCATTGATTTTTTTTTAAAACAAGCGAAAACATCAAATGTAAAATCTATTTCTGTTTTTTGTTTTAATTATTTCTAAATCGGATATTTCTATTATTAATAAACAAATTATGGAATTCTTCTTACTTTCTATAAATCGTCATAAATTATTATAGGTACTTTGTATATAAGTAAGAATGTTTTTTTTGCAGGAGTCCCATCTTGTCAGAGGACAGTTGCATTTGAAAAAGCGTGCGTCCTATTCAATATCGCTGGCATTTACACACAAATTGGCGCCAAGCAAGTAAGTGTGGCGTCTAAAATTATTTACTACCAGTGTACATTGGTAGTTTTCTTATAAATAGTTGGCACACAGACATAGACAGCAATTTTTATTTTTCAAATCGGAAACAGATAACCAATTCCCAAACACCCAAAGTTTTATAGGATACCATCTTGGGTGGATAATATTCAGTAATTTAATGTGTTGTTTGTTGTAATGTGATGATTTAAAAGTAGTCATTTCCTGGTATTATATGTCTAATAGATGTTAGAGATGAAACGAATTGTTATTTGGCCGGATACCGAATATTCCGTGAGCAGTAAGGCAGGATGGCCGTGGTGAATATTTCGCCTGATATCATTTAGCGCTTACTGCGTAATTATAGTTACTGCTTATGTGTTTGGAAGAATCCGGATATCATATTTGCTAATCACGTGTGTTTATTAAATAAAAAATCCCGTATCCGGCCTGACATTGCGTGAGTATCCGGTAACCAGCAGATCATCTCTAGTATGTATTCAATCCTTTTAATTGTCCCACTGCTGGGCTCGGTCCAATACAAAGGGGATCATGTCATAATCCAGTATATAGTTCTTCTATTTGAATAGGTGTATGTGTCGGGGGAACCGGATACTTGGGAAACCGAGTGAAGCGGGTTCAAATCAAACATAATTGGCACTTGTTTTATGATGAAATGAAACCTTCTGGAGAAACCTGCATGTCTGAGAAAATTTAATAAGTTTTCGACATGCTCAGTCCACCAGCACTTGGTCAGCATGGTGGACTATGGCCTGAGCCCCATCGTATTGAACGGATTGTACCGGGTAGTGGGACGTTAAAGAAGGGCTGAATATAAATTAGTAGCAACTCACACTCGCTTCGCTCGTGTTCGTCCTTACGTTGATTCCCCATACAAACTTGAAAGTTTGGGGATGAATCCCCATTTTCACCTCCTTAAGGGATGAATTCCGGGATAAATCCTATGTCCTTCCCAGTAAATTGGTTCAGTACTTTCGGAGCCTATTCAGTACAAACAAAGAAACAAACAAACCAAAAATCAAATCTTTCCTCTTTATAATATTAGTATAGAAGTATAGATAATGTTAATGTGTGTGTATGTGTGCATGTGTGCAGGAGCGCACGACGTGCTCGGGACTGGATGGCGCGGTGGACGCGCTGCTGCGCGCGGCGGGCGCGCTGCGCTACATACACGAAAACTTCACCAACGCGCCCTCCGTCGACCTCGCCGCCGACACGCTGCTCGTGCTCGGCGCGCTCATGACGGTACCTTACTCTACATTCTATTATATATTATTTGATTATTCTATCTCCTAGCATTATAATCCACTAACTTTCGTAATTGTTGACTATTGGTCTTTACATTGTAAATCTAGAGGAAGATAACGATGCTCGTAAAACAGGTTTTCCTAAGGCGAGCTCCGAAGCACTCTTTCTGGATATTTTCATATTATGTCTTAAGCGAAACAGTGTGTAAAGAGTATATTTTTCTAACCTGATTTTTTGCTAGAAAGTAAACGATTTATTATTATTACTGATAACATTTATTATATTCTTATGTATTGACATTTGACACTATAACAACGGTGCGCAGGCGCAAGCCCGCGAGTGCCTGTTCGAGAAGCTGCAGCTGCAGGCGCGCGAGGCGTGCGGCGGCCGCGAGCGCGAGCTGTGCGACGACCTCGACATGTGCCTCGACCTGGCGCAGGAGAGCGCGCAGCTCGCGCACGTCTACCACCAGCTCTACGAGAAGGTGAGCGGGTGGATTGTTTGGGTGGGATGATTTCCGGGATAAAAACTATCCTATGTTCTTTCCAGGGTCTCAAACTATCTTCATACCAAATTTCATCTAAATTGGTTCAGTAATTTCGGAGCCTATCTGATAAAAATAAACAAACAAAATATCTATTTTTCCTGTTTATAATATTAAAATACATTGACGATACGTTTGGCTCAGTTTGTAGTACTTACTTGCTGTGACAGCGGTCGCGGGTTCGGTCCGGCTGGCAGTGTGATGAGCACGAATGTTTGTACTCTAGTCATGGGCGTTTGTATTTGTAATATTATGTATGTATCTAAAGTTATATATGTGTAATGTATCAACTATCGGGTATCCATAACACAAGCCTCGTAGCTATGACTCTCCCTCTCTTCTCTTTTACCTTAATGATATTATTCACTTTAATTGTAGTTTTTATGTTAATTTGTGTTTTTTGTTTGATTTACATAATTTGTGCTCGTACTAGAATTGTGCGCTTTTTTGAGGAATGTTAATTGTATATATTGTGTTTTTATATAAATTTGTACACACGTCAAAGTCTGATGTGTACACGCGGAATGTTGCAAGAATGTTAGCCGCATTCCCCCGCTGTGACATAATATTAATAAATTCATATTAATTTATTAATATTAATAAATTGATTATTAATTAATATTAATAACCATTTCAGATGCAAACCGAGGGGGTGTTCAACTACGTGCCATACTCGTGGGTGTCGCTTGTCCACGTCAAGACTGAATTCTATAAAGGTAGTATTAGACTCAACTTGTATATTGAACTTTATAAACTAAATAAAGTCAGAGTTTTGTTAATTGTGCTTCATCGTTATATCCCGTTTTCTATAAAATACACATAAATTTATTAATGGAGTGCATTGTCCCATACAAAGCTATATTTATTTGTACCGTTACGAGTAGACAGACTTCTTTTAGGTTTCTTCATTTTAACAGTAATATAATATTATTTTTGACACCGTGGGTTGGTTTTAGAGGATGTAAATGTAATACTGATTACTTATCCGGCAACAACCAATTCTACCAATTATACAAAATAATTTTAACAAATATAACAGATTAGTACTTTATTATTGTACAATTCTTTGCCTCGTTGATTTAGTTACTAACGTGTGTGGTTGCAAATCAGGAGATGTTGGGTTCACACCCAGGTCGAGCCAAGAATAATTATTAGACCAGAATTACGAAACTGACGTTATTTCACCCCCGTTCACCGCGTGCGTGGATTTGTCTTCCCATCTTTGCGAGTAAAAGCAATAAAGAAAGCTCTTATTTTTACGGGCATATTTGTGCACTATAACATTTTCTACGCAATTGACCGCCTTGACCGAAAACGGTCAGAAAGTAATCCTTGTTTATATATTAATATTCTTTTATGTATAATTTTGTGGCTAGCTATCTGTCACAACTGTATAATGATCTTTGAGATATCTAAAAATCCTAGTCTCTCCCACGACCATGATAGCTTAGCATAAATTATGATATTTTTTTTGTATTAATTTTTTTTTGTGCGTTGCTATTAATTCTAATCCCAAATTGAATTTTCTTGTTTTATTGGATTGACTATTTAAATATTATTATCTAATTTATTCTAATTATATGTCTGATTATGTAATTTTTTATATTTAAATTGTCATTTATTAATTTTATAATTTAATTTCAAGTTTATTTATTAACTTATTATTATTATTTAATTTTAAATTTGCATCTTGTAACTTAATGTTATTGACGTGATTGAAAAAAAAGAGCATATTGTGATAACCTATTACTAAAAGAACATTTATGAAATTGTTAACACATGAATATCATACCGTTTTTAATGTATCTTTTGTTGGTTGTCCTTAATAAATAAATAAATAGCTGTATGTAATGTAAAGCATTCAAAACGTCAGGAACCAGAAATCAAAATAAGTTCGCGAAAATATCCGAAAAGATAGTTTCATTTAAAACGGTCAGAAAGTGATTGTGACTGAAGTGAAATCCTCACCTCTCAGCGCTGGCGCACCAGTACTGCGCGACGGGGCTGCTGCACGCGCCGGACGCGCGCGCCTGCGACCGCCTCGCCGCGCTCTACGCGCCGCCGGACACCAGCGACGGTATGTACTTCTACTATTATTGGACTTAAACATTGGGAAACACTAAAGTTTAAATTAATTTCAAAATTCCAAACTCGTATTAATATTTTAGGGCAGTGGTGGCCCAATGGTAACGCGCTCGCCGCTCACTTGGGTAACCGAGTGAAGTGGGTTCAAATCTCGGGTCTCCTAATATTTTCATATGAGAGTGATTTTAAACATGATTACCACTTGTCTCACGGTGAAGGAAAACATCGTGAGAAAACCGATATGTCTGAAATAACCTAAAGACATGTGAAGTCCGCCAATCCACACTTGGCCAGCGTGGTGGACTATGGGCTGATCCCCCTCGTAATGAATGGAGATTTTTAGAGAACATTTAATTTTTTTTTGCTATTATGAACTTATTTTTAAGTATTTTTTGAGTATACTTTTTTAAGAACTTGTACATCGCACCGCTGTGCACTAAAATAAAGATTCAAACTTATTCGCGGCTCTGAAAATCGTACGTTTCATTGCGCAGAACGTAATATTAGATATCAGCGGAGCGCAGAAGGACGAAACGCTACGCTTACAGTTACTTAAGTTTGCATCGAACTATATTTTGGTTTGAATGTTTGATGCTATGCTTTGATACAATTTTAAATGAAAATTAAATTTACTTATAGGTCTAAAATACGACGAAGAATTCGACCGTATAGCGCTGGGGCGCGCGCATTTAGCCGAGGCCCTGGCGCTGTATGAAGAGGCTCTAAGACTGCAGAGAATGTGCCGGTGAGTCCTTAAGAAACAATTATTATTACCAACCTTTTCTTATAGAAAACATGAGATTTTAAACTTAAGCAAAAAATTTATTTAATTATTAAATATTTTTCTCACGTTTATACAATATGAATATTAAATATTTTTTTAATTATTTTTTACGATTTGATCTAAACATTTGTACCGTGTTCTTATGCGTTGTTGTATGTCTATTGTATGTATTGTATTAAAGTAAAAAGCAAGTAAGTACAGTCACGGCGACAATGGAAATGTCCGTTGTAATATATGTATTTATGCTCGTGACTGTACATATACAAAGTATACTACTTACTTTTTTATTTAGACTAAATCATGTTCTTAATAAAAGGAAACCTTTACCATCACTTATGTCAATATTATAAATATTTATGTTATACGTATATTATACTACACACATATGTGTTTGCATTTGTGAGTGATGGTATAGACTTCCATGAACTAAATTAAGCTATAATAAGCTAAATAATATATGACAGCGAGCTCCGCAACAAGGAGGCGCTGGCGCGCGTGGTGGGCGCGGCGCGGGAGCGCGCGGCGCGCGAGCACGCGCCGCCCGCCGACGACTTCGCCGACCTGCTCGACGCGCCGCACATACTGCGTGAGTCCACACACCGCACTCTACACTACACCACACTATACACTACTACACTCTATAGTGTACTCAGCGCCAGATTCAACCTTAACGCCGCCCCTGGGCAATATAAGAAATGCCGCCCCATCCTCGAAATTTTGCATAAAATGGATAAAGTTTCGATAAAGTTTTTAAGCTATTGCATAGCTTCTATCGCGGGCCTTGAGCGTGGGGACCGAATCCAGAAATTCCGTAACGAAAAAACCTGACACCCCCCACTCTGACCGGCACAGCGGTGATACTTTTTAGTTTTTCCATCTATCGATAAATACCAGAACTTTTAATGACTTTTTGAAATATTACGCTTGTCTCTTTAGTTCCGCAACCCGCCTTTAGGTGGCATTGGTTGCATTGGAAAACTACCGTAATCAGCTGTTTGTGAGAAAGTATATAGGTGTATAGGTATTTATCATCTATGTACAACAGTGTATATAATTTGTGTACAAAGTGTTTTAAATATGAATAAACAAAGTGCATTTATTAATGAAGAAAGTCAAGGAAAAAAAATACTGCATTAGTATATTTAAAAATAAATAAATAATTATAATTGCATAAGTTGATAAAAAATGCTATGCAATAGCTTTACCGCGGCAGTCTCCGAGTGCCACATTTAATTTTTTATTTTCTTTTAATATTAATAAATGCAAGAATATATTTTTTTTTTTTTTGGAAATAAAAAAAAACATTTTCGATAATGCGAAGATATTTTGTTTATTTATTCTTCGAATTTTGCTGCCCCTAAAAATTTGCCGTCCTGGGCACTAGCCCCGAGTGCCCTTAGTGTAAATCCAACGCTGAGTATACATACTATGTTTGGCCACTCCTGATTCTCCCATTTTTAAATTTAGTCAATTTACAGAATGTGATGTTCGGAAACACATAGTGGCAATTAACTCTGATGCAGTTGGCTCTGACTGCATTAGTCGTAAAATGATCGTTCCTTTATTAGATATATTGATCCCTGTCATAACTTCCATGCTTAATTTCTCTATTAATACTGGCTGTTTTCCATCCGCATGGAAAGATGCTCAAGTAATACCTTTACCAAAAAAAAACAATCCCACTACTTTCTCCGACTATCGTCCTATTTCCATTCTACCCTTTTTATCCAAAGTGCTCGAGCGCCTTGTACATCATCAACTAAGTAATTTCCTTTCAAATCATAATCTACTGAATCCTATGCAATCCGGCTTTCGTTATGGTCACAGCACGACCACTGCACTCGTTAAAATAACAGATGACATCAGACTAGGAATGGAAAATCAACAAGTCACAGTTTTGACACTATTAGATTTTAGTAACGCTTTTAACACTGTTGATTTTGATATTCTTCTTGCTACATTGTGTTCTCTTAACATATCTACAGATGTGATTGACTGGTTTCACAATTACTTGTATGGTCGCCGGCAACGAATCCGTATTCACGATTCTTGCTCTGAATGGATTTCGCTACATGCCGGTGTTCCTCAAGGTGGCGTGTTGTCTCCTCTTTTGTTTTCTATATTTATTAACTCTCTCTGTAACTATATTTCTTCTCCCTACCACCTCTATGCAGATGATCTACAAATCTACCGCCAAACGACCGTATTAAACTTAACTCAAACCATCGATCATATTAATACTGACCTACTTAATATTTCGCAAAAAAGTAAATCATTAGGCTTAATAGTGAATCCAGGTAAAACACAAGCTATAATTATAGGTAGTTCAAAATTAAAATCAAAAATATCTTTATCACAATTACCACCTATTATGTTTGACGGTATACAAATTCCTTACAGCGATAAAGTGAGAAATCTAGGTATTATATTGGACGAGACATTATCTTGGAAGTCACAGGTGGGCGAAGTGAGCAGAAAAATGTTTGCTGCCGTTACATCATTACGTCGCTTACGCAACTTTCTACCCATTCCCACTAAAATTGCCTTGGCTAACACTCTTTTATTACCAATTCTTGACTATGCTGATACTTGTTACCTCGATTTAAGAGAGGAACAGTTAAATAAACTTGAGCGAATTCAAAATCTCTGCATTCGGTTCATATTTGGACTTCGTAAATATGACCACGTTTCCGAATTTCGTAAAAAGCTCAAGTGGCTCCCTATCCGTCTTCGCAGAAATACTCACGTTCTTTGTCTTTTATATAATATTCTATTTAATCCCTGTACACCTCAGTATCTTAAAGATAGGTTTAAATTATTAAGTGATTCTCACCATTTTTCTCTTCGTTCTAACCTTAATCTAACTTTACAAGTTCCTTCACACTCTTCTTCCTTCTATACTCGCTCCTTTACTGTCCAATCTGTCCGTCTGTGGAACTCGTTACCAAATAAAGTAAAACAGGCTGATTCGCTGTCACTATTTAAAAAATTAATAAATGAATATTATCTTAACTTATAAGTGCTAAATGGTGTCATATTTTATTTTATATGTATAATGTTTATATGTGTGTATGTATGTATATATGTATGTATGTATGTATGTATGTATGTGTGTATGTATGTATGTATGTATATATATGGTATATATGTATATATCTGTTTGTATATGTATGTATTTATTGTATCTCTCTTTAAGATTGTTTGCACCCCTTCCTTCTCTCTTCTTTCTCTCTACCCAAAGGTTGCCTAGAATAGATCGCTCTCTAGCGATAAGGCCGCCTATTGTACTATATTCCTTTAATCTGTTTCAACTATATAATGTAAAATAATGGTGTGCAATAAAGAATATTTCATTTCATTTCATTTCATTTCATTATGTTACACTATGCTTTGTTTTGCTACACTATATTATATTATACGACTGTACTGTGTATCTCAGTCGCGTGGTATACTGTGGTACACACTACACAGTACGAGTTTAAACAAACGCCTAATATAGGCCGTGCGTCCAACTGTCAAACTTACTTTTATATAAAAGTCGAGAGACAACTTTATGGTTTCCTGATCTTACCACAAGATGGCACTACAGTGAAAATGGATTTTTTTTATTACCCTTCCATTTGACAGAAGATCAAAATTATCACCTACTGCGTAAATATTTACTATACTTACTGTAGCCTACATTACACTATAATACAAATATCAATACGATACTGCCCTGCACCACTATAATAAAATCCAGAAAATGTAAAGACGTTAATAATCCATACTAATATTATAAATGCGAAAGTAACTCTGTCTGTCTGTCTACCTGCTACCTTTTCACGCTTAATCCGCTGAACCGATTTAGACGATATTTGGTATGGAGATAGTTTGAGACCCCGGGAAGGACATAATATGATAGTTTTTATCCCGGAAAGCACCCCTTAAGAGAGTGAAAAAGGAGTGGAAGTATGTATGGGGAATCAATCGTTTCTCAAGTAACGGATATAAAACTTATCATATTCTTTCTATACCTACTAGGCGTCAAAACGTACTTAGGGACGAACCTGAGCGAAGCGAGGGCGAGTCGCTAGTGTCTATATAAACTGAAATGGTATTTTAATTGTTATCTACTGAAAATCAACCCCTATCACATACTTACTGAATTAAACTCAATTTCTTATTCTAATAAATTTTTTTATTACAGCTTCATCGAAATTCCAACTCGCCCTCACCCCACCAGACTTCGCACAATACAGAGTAGAAGATCTATTCAAATCTCTTGGACCAATAGCAATATTCTCCGCTAAACGACATTGGAGCGCCCCACGACTAATTCAACTTCAAAAACAGACGGACAAACACACACGACGAAACCGACGAAACGAAGAAACCAGAGTTAAACGACGATCAAGCGACAAAAGAGATAGATCAGAAGACAACACTACGTACTACAACCAAATTATTAGAAGCGACGAAAAGTACGGAGATGATTACGACAAACACAGAGTGACAAAACAAAATGGCGTTTATATAAACAGCTTTGATAATAATAATCATCTTGATTATAAGATGGATAAAGATTATGGGAAGAAGAATGGAAGGGATTTAAGGAGGGTCGCGAGTGAATACAATGTGAATAATAATGAAGAGGGCTTTGGTTTCTCCGTGCGAGGGGACGCCCCGGTCATAATCGCTGGGGTCGAGCCGAATTCTTTAGCTGATGTAAGTTGAACATTTAATATTTATCAATTATCTTTGAAAAACCTTGATATATATATATATATACGTATTCTTCTCGCCAGTTTTCTTCATTCTACGTGACATTGACGAAGTTTAAAAGTAACCATACTTTCGTATGCTTTTAACTTGTCTCCTCCTCCTCAAGACTCGTGTAGCTGCTGTGTAGTAATACGAAATTTTAATAGTGAAAAAATATATAATTTAGGTAAAAAGTTCATTAATTAATCATTGAAATAACCTATACCTACGTTTTTAGCGTTAGTGAAATAATGATGAGTGAATTTCGTTAAATCTCCTTTTATTATATTGTGAAGTGGTGTCTATATTCAAGATATACTGAAGTTAGATTACAAACTTTAAAATCATCAAATGAAGGCAAAGGCAAAACGCGTTTAAACCCTGATTTGTCCCGATTTATAAGAATCCTTTGTTTAGATCGGCGGCATGCGCGAAGGCGACTTCATAATCAGCATCGGCGACAAAGACGTGAAGTGGAGCTCGCACGAGGAGGCCGTGCGCCTCCTGCACGCCGCCGGCGACCGCCTCACGCTGCGCCTCGCCACGCCCATGGACCGCGGCTGCGCCAAGGTACCCTGCTCTCCCGTCACCATAATAGCTGTAAAGCATCCCAAACGTCGCATCGGGAACCAAAAATCTAAATGAATCGGCAATCCGAAAATATGGTTTTATTTAAAATGTCAAATATTCCAAATGTTAGAAAGTATTATATCCCCCATATTTCATTGTTGTTACGACTACGTAGATTTATATTGCGTTTACGTGTTATTGATGTATCTAATAAATTTACTTTTTTGATCGACTTCAAAATGGAAATGGTTAATTCGTCTGTATGTTGTTTTTTTTATGTTACGTGATATCTTATAGTTTTTACTTAAAGGACCACCATGTAAATTTAAAAAAAATCAGCTTAAAGTAATAATTACTTTCAAGTGATTTTAAGTTATTTTTTTCTCTTGAAAAGCAAATACATGTATTCCGAAACCACTAGGTCTAGAATTTCGAAAAAGGTAAAGAATATTATAGCATTACTTAAAAAGCTTCAAGTATTTACTGTACCTATTGCTATTCCAGTCGTCTCCCGAGGTCTCTCACCAGACTAACTCCAACCAGGGCTCAGTATCTGCAGCTTCATCCTCCAGCGGTTCCAGCGCGGCGCGCTCCCGCCGGGCGCCGTCTTGGAACCCCTTCAAACGACACGTGACACGGGACAATAGCGAGAGACGCTCACACACTAATGTTATATTTAGATAAACACTGTATTTGTTCGCGTTTTTATTGTTAATATTAATAAATAATATTGTTTTTGAAGGTTTTATGTTGTTTTTGAATTTAGTAGGTCAAGGACTGAGATTTTTGCTGTACTGGGCTATCTGGTTAACATTGTAAAATAAATGTTGGTTTAAATTAATTTTGAAAGTAATCTAACAGCTTTTATATCTGACAAAACACAAAGCAAAAATGCCGGAAAAAAGTAAGTAAGTAAATTATTGTAAATACGCGCCAAAATGTGACATACGAGTAATAATGGCGCTGTAGGTCACACTATATAGATAAAAAAAAAACAGAATTGTGCCTTTAAAAAATGGAAAATATTGAACGTTGGAGTTACTAATATTACTTTTATTTAAAAAGCTTTTCCTCCAAAAAATCATATATTAAATCTATCCTCCAGTTCTTGTTTAGAAAAGAATTTACGGTGAATATTTGATTAAGGATTACATCTATTATATATTTAGTTTCTAAATATATAACTAGGCTAAGAAATTATGGCTATGACATTCCAAAGTTCTTTTATTTTCGATATTATTTCTAGAAATTTCCAATTGATGTGTATAGTATTTATTTTATTTTTTTTAAATATTGGTGCTTTCAAAGTTTGAATACCATTTAAAATACTACTTCAGATATCATATGTTGTAAAGAAACCTTTCTTCGTATAAGTTAAATAAAATCCACTATTTGTCTTTTAACATATTTTATTAATTTTTCATAACTCCTTTACACTTAAATATTTACTAATAACTTTCATGTATATTTTTAGAACTGTCACATCTTTATCTCGATAAGAAGTGCACAGTAATCGAGAAATAATCGATTCTAAAATATCAAGGACAAGACCGTACATATCATTTGTTAATGTAAAATAAACAACTAACTTTTATTTGTATATGTATTTGATTTTAAAACTGTAATTTGCAATTGTATAAGGATTTAAATTATTTTGGTTGTGATCGATTGGAAGCTTTTTTATGTTATTATTGATCGCACCCAAAAATGAACAATTATAGCCTAAAATGTATATCAATGTATAAAAATCGATTTAGATATTTTCATAATCATAATTTAGGGTATTAAATAATAAATATATATTTTGTGGACTCCGTTTTTTATTTCAATATTATTTTCACAATTTATACTTAATAAAGTTGAAGATTTAAAACATTTTATTAACTAAAAATTACTATTATATGAACAATTCTTGTATATTCAAGCTTCGCTTGGCTCGGATTCGTCCCTAGCTTGTTTCCCCATACAAACTTTCATCCCCATTTTCACTTCCTTAAGGGATGATTTTCGGGATAAAAAGTATCCTATGTCCTACCCAGGGTCTCAAACTATCTTACCAAATATTATTAAATTGGTCCAGTAGATCCAGAGATTACCCCCTACAACGTCACAAACTCACAATCTCACAAACTTTACCTCTTTATAATATTAGTATAGAATTCGTGTATGATGTATCTCAGAAACAATCAAAACGATACAAGCAATCAAATTTAGCTAAAGGTGGACTTTTCTAAAAAAAACGCAACTTTACAAAAAAAAACATTTTATCATAAAAACACTGAGCAAAGCAAAGCTCAGTGGTCCAGGAACTTTAACAAATGTAAACATTTTTATACATAACATACAACAACAATATTTTAAAATCCGGTAAAAAAAAATTATAAACATGAACACAACCTTCTTTCAATCAAAAGTATAATATAACTTACTTTGTAGATCTTTAAATATAATCTTCTCCTTAGTTAAGAAATCGACATCTAAATGATTAAACTTATTGAACAATGAACATACTCTTAGTTACAACTTTTATGTTATAAAAAAATGTCAATAGAAACAGCACCATTGTATTCGTATTGTAAAATACCATTATATTTTAAAATGGTATATCCATTACATATTTATTATACTAGCAGAATCCGCGCCTTCGCTCGCGCTAAAGCTACAAAAAAATCTCTAAAAAAGGTTAGGTAAAGTGAAACCTAAGTTTCATACACAAAACGTTGGGAAATGCAATTACGCACGAAGTGTGGGACTCACCGGCTAAGCCAGTACTACCCACTAAAACCCAACAAAACCTTCCCCCGTCTTAATGCAATTTTATCCCCTATTTTAACCACTTATAGGATGAATCTCGAAATATGCTAGAATACGTATTTATTTAATTGCATTGAAGAGCATTTATACCAAGTCAATTAATTCTGATCATAATTTTTTTTGAAATAGATTATAACGTGTTTTCCGGTGGGAGTGAGATAATCTAAAGAGTAGCCTATGACACTCTCCAGCCCTCCAACTATGTCCATACAAAAACTCACGCCAATCCGTCATTCTGTCTCGGACGTGAAAGTAGGACAAACAAACAAACACACTTTCACATTTTTAGTATGGAAGTATAATCACAGTACAAAACACAATCACACACACCACATATCACTGTCCGAATCAAGCTCATGTCCCTATGACCTATCACTAAATTACACACAAGAACATTATCTATCACAGTACTGTTCAAATAGTTTCTTCATATCATCATAAACACCGAAGAACACAAATCCTCCCAAGAAGAAGGCGGAGGCCCGTGGTGTTACTCCTGCGAAGAGCCCCCGGAGGCCGGTTTGCAGGTAGATATCGCGCAACACGGGGGCGATGCGCCGGGCTCCGCCCTCCGCCAGCATGATGCGAGTCTTGGCGACGTCGAGTGGCGTGGTGGCAGCCGCCGCAGCGCCACCCGCTATAGAACCGCAGACTGCACTCTGTAAATAAATATGTATATCAAAATTAAAAAATAAATATATATTTGTTGGTGTCTGTTGTCTGTTTGTGTTGACTGTTGTTTCTACAATACATAAGTCCATGGTATAAGCCAAAGTTTTATTGTAAGTGTATAGCCACATTGTTAAGACATTTTGCTTCTAAGCTACCAATATATGTATAAGTAATAAGTAAATATTTATACCTATACTAATATTATAAAGAGGTAAAGTTTGATTGTGAGTTTGTGACGTTGTAGGGGGTAATCTCTGAATCTAATAAACCGATTTAAATGAAATTTGGTAAGAAGATAGTTTGAGACCCTGGGAAGGACATACAATACTTTTAAAAATGGGCATGAAAGTTTGTATGGTTTGAGTTTTTGAGTTCATGTACACACCTGGAATGTGCTAATCTCTCCATTATTCCTCTCCCTGACCATTGTCTTCAACAGCTCCCACAACGGCAGCTCTATGAAACTGAACGGTAGATCCCTCAGTACTGTTGATAGGAACCCTCTGTACACACCTTTCCGAAGCCCTTCTGTTTTGAAGGCCTGAAATTAAAAAAAAATTATTTAAAAATCAACATTGTGGCAAAGACAAAGACAAAAATATTTATATTTAATTTTATACTTGTTCTTAATTAATCTTTTAAATAAAATTTTGTCTTTTGCAATTAAATTTTAAACCTGCAATTTTTTCAACTATAGTACAACTTTGGTAACTCTTAAAAATAAGCTTCTAAGTTGTATGCTTAAGAGTGGGAAGTCCAAATTTTTTTTTACTGTCTTTCCATTGTAAAACCTAAAATATTTTACATCCCAATGCATGTTTGTTTTATACAAAACTATGCTAAATTTCATTTTACATCCAAAATATCTTTTTCCATTCATTTTGTACATGAAAATTCTACTCCTAAGTAAAAAAAGTGGCATTGTAAAGCATGCATAACTACATAGTTCATAATATAAAAAAAAATGTTATAAATTACATGTGCAAGTATCCGAATGCTGCTTCGTTTCTCTGTTCCAGTGTAGGTTTGTTTTCTTTGCTTTGCTATTTCTGTGGGGACTCTTATTACGCAGGCTAGCTGAAATTAAAAAAAAGTTTTTAAATGACATGAAGTAAGCCCACACTTAGCCAGCATGGCCTATGGCCTGATTCCCCTTATAGCAAACGGAGGCTTGTGCCCAGCAGTGGGATGTTAATAAAAGGACTGAATATGAATGCATACAAAGACTTACCACTTCTCCTACACTTGCTGCAAGCATATGCACTATGGGAGCAAATTGAGGTGAAACTAATGGCTGGAATATGTTTTTTGTGGCTTCATATGATACAAAAAATAGTGCAGTTGTAGGCATAGAACTTGTAGCCACTGTTAAAAGACCTGAAAAAAAAGTTACATGAAATCTTGCCTTCTTTTATATATAATATTCATGTATAATGTAGTTTTAACTATAAAAAGTATAAAATTCTATTCAATTTTCATGTTAATGGCTTTAAAGTATGCCAGTTATTTCATCCGATGTCACGCAGAATGTAAAATATACTAAGGACATTGGTCGATAAAATAAGAATGGTAAAATTATAAAAAGAATAATAACATTATAATATCTTTTTATATCAAATACAGAAACCCATTTCTCTAATATAAGTCATTTCTGTAAAGGTTAAGTAAAACTAAATTAAAATATAGTATGAAATATATGAATCATTTGGTTCATAAACAATCACCATATTTTTTAGTTTTATTCTTACCTCTATATACACCACTAAAGCCACCGGCTTTGTAAAAACCCTGTTGACTTTGTAATCTAGTTTTCAGTGTATCTAAGGGGTAAAGAGTCACATCAACTGATACACCTGCTATTGCACCCGCCTGAAAAATATTTTAAAGTTTCTAATGTAAAATTACATTAGAAACTTTATATATATTATTATTATTAACTTTATATATATTATTATTTATATATATTATTAACTTTATATTTATTATTCATAGTATTATGAAATAACTTTAAGTTTCTTATATCTTAAAAGTTAGCTCTTATTTATGAATCTCATGGATAAAGGTAAGTTGTGATTATTATTATGAAAATATATAAACACATGTATGTATATATATAGTTGTTTGAAAGTGTATAAATCGGTGAATTACTTTGTTTTTATTATATTAATCAAATTTAGCATATAACTCAACTTTTTAATGAATTTCAAAATATATTAGGTACATATTAAATGTTTTGTTACGATTTCTTGTAGACAAGATTTCTTGTAGAAAAATAAACAACTTTTAACTTCTACTAGACAATATAGGTACATTTTTTTATAAATATAATTTTATAACTAGATAGCTATGTATTTTGAACATTAAATATAAGTAATGAATACTACTAATACTATTACATGCATACATAACCAATTTATTATTCAAATAAAGACTAATCAAAATAAATGGTTCTATACAACGGTAACTTACCACTGCTGGTGTAAAATATGACTTAAAATTTTTGCTCTTCTCTGAATGTTCCATGTTATTCAATTTTTGATTAAATTAAAACAAAAAACACTGAAATGAATATCATTTATTTTACGTAAAATAACCTCTCTCATAATTATGCAACACTCAATTATTGTTCTGTGAACACCATTTTAAATCAGTTATTAAATCATTTAGTGTGATAAGCTAAACAACAAAAGTTCTCATTATGTTTGTATAATAAATATATTTACAATACATTTTCTTCGCTACATATTTGTACGAACTAATTTTAAAGATAACATAAACCCGCCATAATTATCTTACTAGTGATGTATCTACTCTAAGTCTAGTTCTATATAACTGTCGAGTGTCGATAACTTTATGAAAATCTTATAATTTATCTTGCAAAAAAAACATTTTAAATAAATGTTTGTAATCAATTTCACAACTTCTCCGTTTCATCGTAAGGTAATTTTTATTTATTAGTTCAATAATAATAATACTACAACCATAAAATCTTGACTATTTTATGAAAGAATCTTACAGCTATATTGCTTATGTCATAATTTAGGTAGAATTATCAAGAATTATTTTTGTAAATATACTTATTGAGTAAAAACTAAATATTTAAAAAATGCTAATAATAATAATGAGTTCATACAAATATCGATAGATTTATAGGATGCATCCCTAAAAATGGATACTGTCATTTATAAAAAAATGTTAAATTAGCATAAGGTAAAAAAGTATACGTCCTAAACTTTCGGTATATAAAAATGAAAAAAATATTTATCAAGTGCTACAGATTTCGTTCATATTACATATCTTCTTCATTATTTAAATGTATAAATATAAGAAAAGCCAAATTTTACTTGATATCAAGCTTTTATGCTAATTTACATGTTCCCAAGTAACGATGTCTTCGGTATTGATAATACAAATTTTGATTACTGACAATTATTTATGTTGTTTCCTAGCGACGAATTTATAAGACTGGACGACATAAACGTGTTTATATTTTCTAAATCTATTATATTTTTTTAAATTTCTGCCTGAAAATATGCCGAAAGCCGTTAAAGATTTGCATGAAGGCATTAAATATCATACAGTTCGTAAAGGTAGCGAACCAGGCTGCTATCAATTACATAGGTAATTACCGTTTTAATTAGGCAAACTATTGAATAATATTTTGAAATAGAAATACCTAGTTAAATATTTATTCGAATTATACTCTTGCTTTTTAGATCAATTAATGGAGATTTAATTAGTGACATCTCATTTTGTTCCTAGTTGAAACAAATCTATCGCCTGAATTTTTTTTTATTTACTTCGGTTAATTTTATTTTAGATAGATTAATAGTAAGGTTTAAGCAATTTATCTAATAACCCTCTAAAACCTAAATTTCCCCCACCAAACCTATGTTAGTGATCTATTTTATTCACTTACTCAAAAGTGAAACTAGGTTAATACATTTTCTAAAAAATCATTCTCATTAAATAAATCAAGGTATAATTCACTATAATAAGTGCCTTTATTTCCGAACTTTCTTACATTTTATAACTTAAATATTACTTTACTATATTTACAATACATCTCTTCGCTCGGTGTGCCTTACGGCATAGACCTCTTCCAATGCCTTCCACTGCTTTCGGTCTTGCAAAAATCTTAATCAAAGGGGACCTAAGGTCATCTCATCCTCCCATCTTCTCACTTTGCGACTTCAGCTCCTAAAACCATCCCTTGGGTACCAGACTCTCACCTGTTTTCTCCATTTTTGTTTCATTTTTGTTTCCATTGTTGTTTACTGTATACTTATAAGAATTGCTACCAAATTTCATTTCATTTTTCATATTAAGTATAACGAAGCATATGTCCAATCTATCTCCATTTAACACCTTCAGGTAAATTTCTAAGAAATTAATTAAATTTTTAAGAAATCTATTGTTAACTGTAACCCCGGCGTGTCCGCGGTCGTTGAGGGATTAAGTTGGTCGATACGTGACAGGATGTCTGTTGGTTTTGTCTTGCGTTTGATGTCTACACTCCTGACACTATTAGAGAAAGTAAGTCGTCGACTAAATATTTGTTTTGTTTGAGATATAATTTTTAGACCTTCACAATGTCGGCTGAAGTTTCCCATTACAAAACGACCGATCCACAAATGCGAAGTCCCGAAACACGAATATACATTAGTGCCACAAGTTGGTGGCTGGCGGACCTTATTGGTTCCTAAGTCAACACCCAACTTTTATCCAGCAGTAATGAAAAAGAAAGACTATGAGAGGTTGAAAAGACAAGCTAAGGTTGGTTTTTTAGTTTTTAAATGTAATATATTTGATTTTTATAGAAAAAACATTTAAACAGCTAAATATGTCGTTAGATAGTCACCCAAGAAGAACAATTGCAAGCAATGCACGCACAAGAAGCGGCTATACAGCAAGCGGCAAGAGAGTCTGAAGAGAGGAAAAAGAAATTAAGAGAACAGCTTAAGCCTCAACCTGGTGCTGAAGCTTCTGGTACTACTGATCCTGAACTGGAAGGTCCTGACCAAGCAGCGCATACTCTGTCACGTGCTGAAAGTAAGGATAATAAATAAATAATAATTATGTTGGGACATTAACACACACACACACACAGCACCATCTAGTTCCATGGTAAGCTACGAGGCTTGTGTTATGGATACCAGATAGTTGATTATATACACATATATAACTTTAAATACATACATATTATAAATATAAACACCCATGACTGGAGTACAAACATTCGTGATCATCACACAAATGAATGCCCTCAGCGGGACTTGAACCCGCGACCCCCAGCACAGCAAGGAGGGTCACTACAAACTGAGCCTAACTAATAGATCACCGTTAAGTCTGAATTCACACAGATACTTATACTCGTATTTATATAATGGTAGCACATTATAACATTACATATTACGTTTTATGTCTATACAGTTCTCAGAGCTAACAATATGCAAGGACCAAGGCTTTGTAACCGCATCATCTTAGCTTCTAAATGTCACGCTATACGCGACGCACAGATTGCCGAGAAAGATCTTATTAAGAAAGAAATGGATGAGGAGGAGAGAAGGTAACTTGAAACATAGTAAATATTATAATTTTTAAACTTTTTAAACTTTGTAAATAAATTGCGTGTTCCAGCTGAAATTGGTAAATCCTGTAAATAATATAAACGATTACTTTTAAAATATATTACTTACTTACTATATAGACTTGACGACATAATGGAAGAGAATCGACAAGCAGCGGTAAGACGTGCTGAAGAAGAAGAGGAAAGAAGACACCAACTTCGTCTTCAAAACTTGTCAGCTCTAAAAGAGCAAATAAAAGCACACGAAACAGCCAAGGTACGGCATCAGAATATTGTTCTTGGATAAAATATTAAAAAAAACATAATATAACATAAATGGACTAAAATTCTCTCTAGATAATGGAAGCAGAACGCATAGAAGAAGAGAGCATCAGAGTCAATCAAGCAAACATTGCCATGCAAATTGATGAGGCTCAAAAGCTAAAAGAGAAACAAGGCAGGCAAGCCAAGCTGAAGGAAATTCTTGATCAAGGTAATTTTATATATCTTCTTACGATAATACTCCATATGTATAATATGTTATTTTTAAAGATATAAGATAAAGTAGGTACTTGTACTTTTTCTCTCATTTCTTCCCAACAATATTATAAATTCGAAAGTTTGTGAGGATGTATGGATGTCTGTTACATAGATGTATGCATGTTTGTTAATCTTTCACGCAAAAAGTACTGAATGGATTTTAATAGAACTTTACAATAATATAGCTCATATATCAGAATAATACATACTACTTTTTATACATTACATGCTACTTTTTATCCTGGAAAATGTACGGTTCCCGTGGGATACATGTGTTTTTGTTTTTCTAGAGGCGAACCCGAGCGAGCCACTAGTAGACGATAATTGCCAAACATTATACTATGCAACTCATTAGTCTTTGCCTTTTATGAAATCAAAAAGCTCTCTAATTATCTACCAAAAAAGCTTCCATCAAGACATGCATCATTTTATATATAAATATGTGACAGGCAACGCGGAGCTTCTTTATTACAAACAGCTGCAGAATGAAGAGGAACGCATCATGAACCTTCGGATCGCCAACTTTCTTAGACAAAAACAAGAAAGGGAAGCAAAGAACAGAGCAGAAGCAGAAGCTGTTAAAGCAGCTAAACAGAAGGGCATTGATCACATTGCTAAAGCACAGAAGGTGAGTATGACATTTAGTGTCGTTAATATTAAAAATTTAAATATAAACATGGCAAAATATTTCCTTTTTGGTATAGTTTAATAAAATTTACATAAACAAATTCTAACGCAGTCGAATCTGTACATTAAATATTTTTTGGAAATAGTTTTTAAAAATTTTGTCTGTCTGTCCGTCTGAGAGAGCATCACGAGAAAACCACTGGACAGATTTTGATGAAATTTGGTATGATGATAGCTGGTTATCCGGGTCAACATAATCGGGGGAAAATATGTCATCTCTTAGAAATCTATACTAACCGTTAAAACATAGGTAGGGACGAACCCGAGCGGAGCGAGGGTGACTCGCTAGTTATTTATTTATGCATAAATGAGTTGTTTTAAAATGTTTTATTCTGTCCAATAAATTACCCCAAATGAAACTCTTGTGAACTACCAACTCTAGACGTTCGATATCAACACTATATCACTATACAACCCACAGGCAGAACAAGAGCTGAAAGAAGAGTTGGAGCGAATACGCAATTTGAAAATCCAAGAAGACGTAGAGAGAGAATATCGACGGAAAGAGAGAGATGCTGCTATCAAACGCAACCGCGAGATGAAGAGGCTTCATGAGGCGAGAGTGCAGCAGGTAAAGATATCAGTCTTCAATCTTTGATACATTGTTGGTGACTAGGTTTTTAATACTCCGAAAACAACTTCGGAACAGGTTTTGTCGAAAACCAAAAATCTAAATAAATTCGCGAAAAAATCCGAAAAGATAGTTTTAGATAAGTTAAAATCTATTTGGTTTTGTTTTTTATAAAATTAATTAAGAATCTTACCGGCAATAAAAATAGATATACGATGTGCGTATTACATGAATGAACGTTACAGATTAATGACATCCATCGACTGATCGCCCGCGAAATAGCCAAGGATGAGCAAAGCTTCAACAACGCGGCGCGGCAAAACGAAGAATTTATTCAAAAGGAAAAACAGGTATACTATTTAAATTTTAATATTACAAGGCATGTCTGACATAACCTAGTAAGACCTTTTTCGAAAGACATGTAAAGTTCGCACTTGGCCAGCGTGGTGGGCTATGGCCTGATCCCCTTGCATTGAAGGCAGGCCCGTGCTCAGCAGTGGGCCAAAAAAAGGGCTAACAATATAATTATAACTATATAAAAATATAATATGTATGTAGTGATGGCTATTTCTGACATATTCTCAGGCTGGAATAGGCAAAGTAAAATTGACTCACCTTCTCACTTCAAGTATTTATCAATCTGATTGTTCAAAATATTAATTCCATAATCGGAACAAATACTATAAACGTGAAAGTTTGAATAATTATTATATTTTTACACGCAGTACAGAGAATTGAATCAAAATGATCTTTTGCCGAGATTGTTTAAGTACTGAAATTTCATCACAAAATGTTGAATAGTTTTCTGTTGTTAAAGGTTATTTTATACTGTAAAAACACAAACTCGTAAAAAACGGAGTTACAGTGTTATTCTTTTCAGGTACAGATTTAAAAAACTAAAACTCTCCTTTTATATAGTTGGAAGATAAGCGCAAAGCTCGTGTCGAGCGCCATCGCCAGGAGATAATGAAACAGATCAACGACAAGGAACGCGCTCGGTAATATATTTCTAACCTATTTAAAAAAGGAAAGAGATTATGTTTTATTATTATTAATTAAAAAAAATGTTTAATTTAAAAAAAATGCACAAAATGACGGTTAAGTTTGAATAATTAAAACTCATACCATCTAAAAGTCCTCTAGCTATACATGGTAGTATTTATTACATGCGCTTTCTAGATTTGCTTTGGTAATCGATATTTAAAGCTAAATATGATAAACTTAATAAATATTATAGTAAAAATTTCAATTTTATTTCTATTCAGCGCGGAACTACGCGAGAAGATTCACAATGAAGGCGTCGCGCTTCGTATGGAGCAAGAGCAACAGGATAAGTATGAAAGGAAAGTTATTAAACAAAAGGTGAGTCGACTTTGAGGGCTGTGGTAGCCCAATGTTAGGTAGTGAAGCGCTCGCTTGGTAAACCGAGTAAGCGGGTTCAAATACGGAATCTCACAACTCTGATGTTTTTATGTGCGAATCATTTAAGATGATTACTGGTCTTAGTGGCTCGTCATTCTCATCAATGAAAAATATTTATCTTAAAAATTGTATTGGAATCATATTAGAAATGTAAATTTGGATATGACGATCCAATAAAAGTATGAATTTTCAGTTTTTTTATAAATTCGCAAAAAAATCCGAAAAGATTAATCGAAGAAAATATTAGTTAAATCATTATGTCATAGAATTCAATATATTTTTAATATATTTCTATTCTTCAACGATTGTAGGATAACATCCTCGTTTAAAGCCCTTGTACGAGAATCTAACCAGCGATTTCGATACGCAAGCTAGTAAAATTTTTATATATATTTTATGCTTTTTTTTAATGTTATTAAATAATTCGTAGGTATCGGACATGAGACAACAGAAAGTATCCGAAAAGTACGTGAAAGAAGTCGAACAGACGCTCGGGAAACATGGCTACTAAATATTTAATGTATAAAAAATATAACACCATCTTCTTGTGAAATAAATAATTTATATTATTACTGATAAAATCATTTTGTAGTGTGTACATTACATATAACTACATAGATTTGCTTGCTTTTGGCCAAATTTTGTGATTCTAGGTCAACGGGAATTACCATAATAACCACCATAATAGGTCGAAACCTCGACCCAAAACCTATAGGGTAACTTCTTTTTATCGTGTTGACTCAGGAACTTGATTTTTATACACCTAATAGGGACTATAGACCTCAGTATCTGGTATAAATTTCAAAGTTGCTAGGTCCACCCGTTCATGAGAAAATGGGTGGTGACACACAAGAGTGATCGTAAAAGGGTTCCTTTTTGACTTTTGAGGTACGGAATCCTAAAAAGAGCATAATTTCTCGCTGTGCGCTTTTTATTGAAGACACTTTTGAGACGCTAATTGTGCACTTTTTATATATCAATGATAAAATAGTGTGTATAAAAATTTCAGTATATTTGCGTTGAAAAGATTCTCTACGGTTTTTTTCGGAACTAAGATTTTCATTTAATAAAATAGCATCAAAGCAAAATCTGTACATGAAATGTTTTTCGTTTCACGCAAAACCCAATTAATTTTAATTAAATTTTGAATAGTGATAACTTATTATTCGGGGCAACATTTAGATTTTCAGTCTTCAAATGAAAGTAAGTAATTGAAGTATACACGAAGGATAAAAATATCCAGTATTCTTTGTCTTTTGTTAGTTCTGAAAACAGCCACTAGATAGTATCAATAATTATATCTGTTGGTTTCAAAATAAAACATCCATTTTTAAAGTAGTAATTGATAATCAACATAATTATTATAAAAAAAAACTGTCTTTTAAACAGTTTTTAGATTTTATTAATACTTAAATCTTACCATATTTTCTATCAATTAGATTTTGACATAGAAACAAAAAATACTCAAAATATGTTCTTTTAGATTGTTGTGTGAAGTTTGGTAAAGCAATAAAAGATTGTATGTATCATTTGTCTTTTATTTACAAATCCAAAATAATTATAGATAACCATTCTTGCCACAAGCCAGTCTTAAAACTTAAAATAATCATAAAATTATTTATTTTAATTATTAAAATTACAGAAGGTGATACATCATATTTATGTGATATGATACTTGTGATAGGAATAATTGGGACCAATAAGATGATCTTACTACCAGACCATATCCATATCACTTAGCTCTAAGAATACTTCGAATATTTTAAAAAGAAAATAAAAATAATAAAATTGATACCATTACTATACATTAAGACTAACAAAACACACAAACAGCCATAACATCAATAATTGTAAATAACACACACATACATTCACTAATCATTAAAACAAAAAATTACATTAAATACATAATTTGTCATTAATCATTGCATATAAAAAAATTATAAACTTTGGTCAAAACAAAGTACTCGGGATAATAATATATAATACTAGCTGTGCCCCGCGGTTTCACTCGCGTTAAATTTGTTTGATTATAATCATCAGTTTTATAATAATGTATGGAAGTCTGACAGATTTGTTGACATTTATAATTACTGCGCCTCTCCCTTGTGTAGTAGCATGATAATATATAGCCTATAGCGTGTCTCAATAAACGGGCTATCTAATGCAAAAATAATTTTTCAAATCAGATTAGTAGTTCCTGAGATTAGGGTGTTCACACAAATAAATTTTACCTCTTTATAATATTAGTATAGATTACAGTTATACAAGTACACACATTATAATTTTTCTATTTCTTATTAATTGTATTATAGCACAAAAGATACTTTTGTTTTTCAGTTTTTTTAGTTTAACAGTGCAGGATATGTGATATAAAACATGGTGTATACAGGATAAGCTATAATACCTACTTGCCATTATTTAAATTAAAAAAACTTACCCTTTAACGGCTTAGAAAAACCTTTTTTATAGAAACTGACTATAAACCCAATTACTGTACGACTAATATATAATTATTTGTCTAGCTATTTTTTTTATTTTTTTTTGAAGTTTTACTCCTTTTGGCACGTTTGGAAAAAAATATGAGAGTAAAATTACGATGGGCGCGCACACCTTTTACAAACCGAGTTGTGACATACGGGATGAAATCTTCAGCTATTTTTGTTCTATTACACCAAAGAAGTATAACTTCTTATGTTTCTACATAAGTACACACACACGTTTTTTTTTATAATAAATAGCCATACTAATAAAAAATGTTAGTCATACAGTTAGTAGTAATAGACAGTTACTGTATGGATAGGGTCAAACTTTTTTACACTATTTCAACACAATCCATACACAAAAACACTGACACTTCCACTATCACTTCATAGCTTTCTCACCAAGTTTGACCACCGTATCCAAGTTGTTTTTGAGGGTTTTGAGCTGAAGTAACACATTCGAGTCCATGAGTGAGAATGGGATGTAAGCTTGGGACTGCCGGAGATGTTTAGGCTGTAGAGACAGCATCGTACCATCCTGAAGAAGGATGTTGCAATTTGCTTTGTCATCTGAATTCATCCTGAAAATTAAAAAAAATATGTAAACTATTTTTTTTTAAATCAGACACGTCATGAAGCATGCTTTATACATCATAAGCTACTTATCACAACAACAAGGAATTGGAATTACAAGAAAAAAATCAATTTTCGAATACTAGAATGTTCTTTGTTTATGCATATAAAAAGGCCAACAATGTGTCGAGAGATCAGTTGAATTTCGAAGCTAAGTGAAAGCAGAAGAAATACGAAAAAGTGGAGAAGTGAAGAAAAGTGGAGTAAAGTCATAGTAATAGTGTAATCAAGTGGTGAAAAATAGCGTTTAGACAATGAATGTAGCCAACACCGCGTATGTATTCCGTATGTTTCAGAACCGCCATAAGTGACTGTTGGAAACTCAAAGTAAAAAAACATTTATAGTGCAGGAGACTTAATTTTCCGATCCCCAAACTCATAGAACGTAACAATAGGGAATATGCGTGTGATTTAAATAAAGGTGAAGATTTTTTTTTTATAATCTTTATTGCTTTTGAATTAAGTCTATATAAATATTTTTTTAATGTTATTTCTTTGTGATTAATAAAATAATTATTAAAAAGTGCAAAAACAAGTGGGTAAATTCAAAGTAGTTGAAACGCAAGCCATTTATCAGACTGAATATGACGTCAGAGTATATCATAACAGGGCATGTCATGTCTCTGTGTATATCATACTGTGACGTCACGCCGACCGCGCGAAATGGCGGGCTTTTAAAGTATCGGTATGACATTTTGAATTTTTTTATATTACTTTTTGGTTTTTAGAGCTGGATATTTTTTTACAATTACATAATGATGTTACTATTGTATAAAAAATAAAAAAAAAATCACGCACATTCCCTATTGATGTCAGAAGTGAGATAGCTCTGATATTCGAAACTTTTCTAGTAATTCGAATTCCTTTCTAGAAAATGTTTTATTCCTCTCTTACACACGATCATTATATTGTGCCAGATGTGGTTATAGTTATCTATTGAAATTATGTACAAAATACTATATATTAGTTAAATATAGTCGTTTAATGAGCTATGTTGTAAAAATTAAAAAGCAGTATTTTTTATAAGGCGGTCATATGGATAGCATAAGCTGGGATAATATAACCGGTATGTTGTTCTAAACAATGTCGTCATAAAGGGTATGTATGTACGTACGTGCAGACTGAGGGCACCATGACGGGCGAGCCCGACATGGACAGCACCATCTCGCCGGCGCGCGGCTGCCGCAGCACCGTCAGCGGCGTGTGCGGCGCCACCTGGCATTGTTGATAAGAGAAAAACCTTTCTATTACACATGTAACAATATGAGTCTTCATTATTAGTATATCTATAATATAAAAATGAATCGCTGAATGTGTTGGTAAGCGCAAATCTCGAGAACAGCTGAACCGATTTCGCTAAGTCTTTTTTTAGAATATTCCTTGAAGTACCAGGATGGTTCTTACGGAGAGAAAAATTAAAAAAAAAGAATTAAAATTAAATTAATTAAACAACACTTTTCTATACTCCTATTTATAGAATTTTAATACCATACCATAAAGTTTAAGTGTTAGTAGAGATATCGGTAAGGCAAAACAATTGAGTGACGTTATTATCGTATAAATATTAATGTCAACATTTGTAAATATTATTAACAAAAAAAAATTAAAATGTATATGGCTAACGCTGGCTAATAACTATTTATATCTATTCAAAACGTACCTAGCGACGAACCCGAGCGAAGCGAGGGTTAGCCGCTAGTAATATATTTATATTACCAGCGCTCGCTCTTACTTGCTCGCGCTTCGCTCGGGTTCATCCCTAGATATGTACGTTTTGACGCTTAGTATGGAACAGATAGACAGACTATATAGCATTATGTAGGTATGACGAGTTTTATATTCCATACTTGAGATTTTTTTTCACCCATTTTTAAGGAATGACTTCCTAGATAAAAAGCTAGCCCACGTCCTTCCCAGGGTCTCAAAATATTTTTTATTTTATTATATTGTAGTGGCTATATGATGTCGATATACCTTATTCAGTTAAAAATGTAATCTTCACATAGGTGAAATGACTGAAATGACAAACAAAATGAATAAACAGAAAATAGCATCTGAAAAATTTTTATAAAACTATCTTGTCTGATTTTTCCCGGGTTTATTTTGATTTCGAATGCCAAGCTTTACAGCAATCATGGAGACTCATGATTTCCACGATTGCTGTAAAGTTTAAAGCAATCTTGGTCACGTCGGGAATGAAAAATCAAAATAAATCCGCGAAAAAACAAAAAAAAAAACTTTTATTGAAAATGTCAAATAACCCTTAAATTAAAGAAAATATTAAGAAATAGCTAACTAAACTGCCCCTATCCCCACAGGGCCACACTGGTGGCTGTTCTCACTCACCTTGGGCGTGATGACGGGATAGTTGGAGGGCGCGTTCTTGCTGTAGGCGGGCGTCTTGTACACGGAGCGCGAGCGGCGCCGCTGCTGCGTGCGCGGCGCCCGCGAGGCGCGCGCCGCCGCGTCCGCCGACCGCGAGCGGCGCGACGCCGACGGGGGCGCTGTGGGAGTGTGCGACACGCGTGCTCATAAGCTAACCCGGTTTAGACTAAGACCCTCCTCCCATTACGATACGCCCAGGGGACGCGCAGAATACTAGAGGAGACTGATCGCCGCGGAGCATCGCAAATACATTTTGCAGTGGTACGGTACGGTATCGGTACGGTCGGTACGCTACCGGTATCGTACGCGTCCGTGCTGGTCGTCCGCGCGTCGCGTCTCATACGCATTTCGAAATACTCGTCCGCTCATTAAAAAAAAACACAAAACAAACGATGCATTTTGTTATTTTTCAGTAGCGTAATGTGCGAACGTCGAGTTGCCAACTCAGCAAATTCAGCTAGTATGCGACTTGAGTATTGTATCCTACGTGTTTCGTAATGGAAGAAGGGCCTTAGACTAACTAAGCCGAATCTGTACATTAAATATTTCTTGGAAAATCTTATTGAAATACTTTATTATCGATACAGAAGCCGAATCTATAGTTTTAAGAATTTTTGTCTGTCTGTCTGGCTGTTACCGCATCACAGAAATACCACTGGAGGGATTTTGATGAAATTTGGTATGGTGATAGCTGGTTATCCGGGTCAACAACATATAGGACACTTTTTACCGCAGAAAAATATCTCATTTTTGAGAAAAAATACAAAAACTAGCTGCAATGTAAAAGTATACTAATATGAAAATCCTAAGAATTTGGTTTTTGGTAATCTGAACGCGGGCGGAGCCGCAGGCAATGCTAGTATGTATATAAATCTTAGAAATAAATCTTTGTTAATAAATAAAAGAAAAAACTCTACAGTAAAGTACAAGTATTGGTGGTTTGAACAAATAAGCAATAAGGCGACAATATGTAATTGTAAGCAGGAAAAGCCTCTAAAAACAGCAAACTTATATTTTTATTTGCCCACCTAATATTATTAAAGGTTTATAGTTTAGTCAAAAGCGCATGAAGGCTAAAAAAATTTTAAACCCAATTTACATTATGAAATTAGTAGTGTAAAACTGTTTTCATTAAAAACATACAAACACAAGCATTTCGTTTTTTTTAAATAAAACCGGCAATGTCAAGCGGCAAATTCCTTATAGGAGTTATATTATCTCAGAGGGTACATATATTATTATCTGACTTGTCTTTTTGAAGATTTCTGAACAATTATTATACTTTTGCATACTATTTTCATAATATAAATTAGACTTTGAACTCCATCACAAATGATTCAAATGGCATGAACAAGACAGGTGTAAAGCAGACTTACCGAGTAAGGTTTTCTTTGCACCACGCTCTCCGGAGCCCTGCGACGAGTTCTCAGTGAGGTACCCTGATCCCAGAAAGCTCCCGGTTAGTGGAAACGTGGACTTTTTGTTAGATGATGTGATTGTGCAATATGAACGTATTGTGTATAGTGAATGTGTTTATAATGCCTGCTTTTGCCTATAGGAGGTAGTGGGTTCGATTTCTAGGATGTTTTATACACATAGATTTGTGTATAACTCAGATCTAGATATAACACAGTACAGCTACAACTTTACGTCACCCCAAGGAATACTAGCGGCTCATCCTCGCCTCACTCTAACAGAACAAACCTATCCCACAGGAACAATACATTTTTCTGGAATAAAAAGTAGCTAATCTGCTTTTTAAAGACTATAACCTATCTCTGTGCCAAATCTCATCCAGATCCGTAGAGCCGTTCTGGCGCGATTGAATAACAAACATCTAAACTTTCACATTTATAATATTAGTATGTTAAGTATTGATGAATACAGCTCTGTTGCCTACTTACTGTAATATTTCATTTTTTAACAATACTATGTTAAATAGAAGATTTGGTTTTGTGAGAATGGTGAGTTATAAAGTAGTAGAAAATAAACCATTTTGAAAAAGACGAAAAGAATAATAATATATGGAATTAGAAACTAAAAGCTTTCGCAAGCTACTTCCTACAAAATCTACATATTATGTACAACAACAAAGCGCTTATACATATAATTACTAGATATTTTCTTACAAATTTTACAATTTCTCATATTAAAACTACAACTTTCACGTTTTTATTTTCAGTAAAACTTATTTGGCACTGTTGCAGATATCACAATTAAATTAAAACAAATCAAAATATAATATTTTTTATAAAATTATAAGTTATAAATATTCATTTTTATTTATCAGTAATAATTGTTATAAAATTATTAATAGTAAATTAATTTATTATGAAAACTCCCGCAACACTCATGTTTCAATGTATCAACTTACCCTTCAATCACGCCTAAAGAAGTTTTACTTTAAACCACATAAATAAAGGTTACACACCCTATTTTTTTTAAATATACCTTATATGTATAGGAAAGCTATAAAATTATGGTTATCATACCATCATCATGTGAAGCTGAACGAGCAGAATTCCTGGCTGTTGTTCTTGTAATTGTTGGAACTTCTTTGAGATGAAGCTCTGTTTTCTGAAAAATAAAATCGAATCAATAATAAAAACATCAGTTATGGGCTTCTTTTATAATACTGTAATTAAGCAAATTCTACACTATTTAATAATTTTATTATTAAATAGTGTAGAATTTGTTAATAAATGTTATACAAATAGTTTTAAGTTAGACAAGATGTTTGTTTACAAGTTTGTATTATGATGTATATTGAAGCGATATTATTTATCACTACATATTATAAAACAAAGTCCTCAGCTGCTTCTGTCTGTCTGTTCGCGATAAACTCAAAAACTACTGCACCAATTTTCATTTCGTTTTCACCAATGGATAATGTGGTTCTTGAGAAGGCAGTATATAATTTGTTCAGTTTTTGTATACATTGGCTATAATATAATGATATTTGTTGGGAGGTGTTGGAAAAAATAAGCCGTCTGGGAGCTTTCAACGCGAACGCTGCCTAAACTCTTTGAGATATAATAAATATATATAATATATGGTGGAATTGTGAATCTTATATAGGTATACAGAAAATCATATGGCATATGTCTATCTCCTAAGGAAAACATACTATATCCATTTTAATACGCTAGTTATTATTATAGAACATAGCTTTTTTTATTATTACTTTATGTAAGAATGTGATTATTTAATGACTTCAGGGCATGCCAGTTGAGCACAGATTACTTCTCCAATGTCATATAGAATAAAGAAGACACAAAGGAGATTGGTTGATAAAATAAAGAAAATAAAATAAAGAGATTGGTTGGTAAAAAAAAAATACATTGTTAGTGGTTGTAAGTACTTACTACATACAAATTTAATAATTCTAATCAACATACCAACTGTCCAACAGTTTTCTGCAAATGTGTGCTACTGATAGAACCCAAAATTATCTTGAAGGCAAGTTCCACATTTCTCAATTGCATGTGAGTGCGTGAGTCGATTTTGTTCTTTAGGTCAGTCACTAAAATGCATAAAGTAAAACGATTAGTACTAATATTAAACAAAGTATATTTTATCGTAATATATATTTTAATATTTGTTATAATCGCGAGCGTTAATATATACAATAATGTTTCATTACAATTATTAAACATAAGAGATATCAAATGTTTTTACCAAGTTTGTTTAGTTTTTTCAAAGTATCATCGTCTTCACCAATTTTCTCTTGTTTTCGAACAGGCCGTTTTGTGCGTGGCATTTTTAACTTTAAACACTGTCGTTACAATTAAAGAAACAAAACTACAACTAAATAATATTTGAATATTGTACTTTAATAAAACTTTCAGTAAAACACGAAGAGACTTTCAAACAAAATACGGTCAACCGACATTTTTGAATTAACAACGGCGATCGGATACGTGGATAAACAAAAAATCATATTGATACATGATAATAAATGATTTTTATGTAACAGCAAAATTAATGAAAATAATGTTTTTTGGTAAAGTGTAACTACCTAAGATAATCAAATTAGTATTATGTATGTGAAAAATTCTCCTTTATAAGTAAAATTTAAAATAATATATTCTATTCATGAGAGTACTTGTCTAACCTATTTTAAATTATTTTGAACGCATGCATATTCATTATTGTATGTGACCGGAAGTATTAAGTGTGTGAACTTTCATACTATAATAGAAATATTTGTTTATTACACTAATATAAATGTGATTATAAAAATAGAAACATTATTGAAAAAAAATTTAGTTAAATTTATACATAAATAAAGTAAAATTTTGGTTGATTGGCACTCATTTGACTCATGGTGCATTGTTATGATGAACGAAGAATGGCGGACGTTGTCATAGTGCGATACTTGTTCACTTTTTTACTTATAAATGCTTGCCATGGTAAGTTAAAACGAATTTGAGTATATTAATATCAGTAGAAATATGAAATACATATATTACATAAGTTTCAGGCTTGTAACTTTTAAGGAAGTCGAGAATTTTGCTTAGCTTCTGTAGATCACTTTTTGTCGAGAGTTTTTATTATTGTTTTCTCATCAGACGCCAGGTCTAATTTATTGTTTATCTGAAGTGAACTCCTACTCATTTAGGAATTGATAAATTTTATTTTTACTTAAAATAATAAAATGTTTTTGTAGGCCTATATCGATAATTTAATGAGAACATATCATACGTTTTCATAATAAATAAATGCAGAGATTTAAAGCTTAATATCTAAAATTATTACTTATTACATTTACTTTTCTGAAAACATTGTTATATATAAAAAATGATATAAAACATCTAGAAATATATGTAAAAATAGTTATTTAATATTCAATTTTCAAGGCTAATAATCTATAAATCAACTTATTTTTAAATTCTTATGACATTATTGTCCTACAAAAATACAAGTTTAGAGATTTATTGAAAGTAAGTTTTAAAAGATTGTTTTATAAATGAAATATAATAATTTTACAGCAGGCCTTCCAGGCTTGGACCACCTGGAGGATGACGGATCCCCAAGTACACAGGCAGATAATCACCTTCTAGGTGATGACCAGTTTTCCATTGACAAAAATATGGTACAGCAGCCAAGGTAAGGAACTCGCTAACTTTTAAATTTATGTTCATTTTTCCTAATCTCACTTTCTTTTAACTAATAATAATAAGGAATGTATGATGAAATTTATTTTTACTTTACTTATTGTATTGCATTAAGAGGCATTTTCAAACAGCATTGCTTCCTACTGTGAGAGTAACATTTCATTTTCATCTATACAGATAAATAAAATTGAAGTGTCTGTTTGTAATGTCAAAATAACAACTTTCTACTAAATGCATAAGAAATTATATATGATGTTCTCCTAGCCGATTCCGGCCACGGCGGCCAATCTTATTGAGACTAGCCAACTGCGCAGGAGATATTATAGTGCACAAGTGTACGCGCAGACACAAGTGCACTCTCTATTCCTGTCACTCTCATACTCTGGTGGGACGATCATTCGACACGACCAGTGAGAGTTAAGGCGCAGGACCGACGGCTTTACGTGCTCTCCGAGGCACGGGGGTGAAGCACCGCCAACTTCCCAACTCCGGGCTGTTACTGAGACTTACTATACAGAAAGACTCAATAACTAAACTTGGCCCGACCCGGGACTCGAACCCAGGACCTCCGGGTGTGCAGCCGTACATGCTAGCCACTACACCACCGAGGCAGTTAAAATGAATGAAGTTAAAATGAAATTATATATATGGCACTTATAAGAAAAATATGTACAACTTTTAAATTTTTTGTATGTCTGACTGTTTGTTTTGGCTAATCTCCGAAACTTCTGGACTGATTTTGACGGGACGTTCACTGACAGATAGCTAATGTAATATGGAGTATAGTAATACAAACATTTGAATACATATGCAAATAGAACCTGTCACTTGTTTCTATACATTATGCAGATATATTCCTACTGTGTTATGTTTTTGTATATTTTGATTCAAATGAATCATTTTGATGCTCTTGATATAGACCTGCTTATTTATTTTCATTGCTGACATGAAGGAAAAGGTTTCAAAGAAGGTAAAGTTAGCATTACATTTATAAAAGTTTCTAATTATATTGTTATTTTACAGAATCTATTTTTAAGTTTTATAAATTCTTCTTAATAGGAGATAATTCACTTCAAGTGCCATGTTACCTGTTTATTCTTTTGTAATTTACCTACCATAATATTATATTGTTTAAATAGTTTATTTTATTATGTTATTTTACCAATCAATCTCTTTTGTGTCTTCTCCATTCTACGTGACATTGGAGAAGTAATCTGTTCTCAATTAACATGCTTTGACACCATTAACAAGAGAACTGAATTGAAAGTTTATTTAAATTATAATGTTTCAGGTATAAATGTCACCAATGTGAATCACCTAACTGTGGAGATGAAGATGAGACATTCACACACCAGATCTGTGATTCAGCACTTTACTGCTTCAAGTCCACTGTTCGGGCGGCAGATGGAGCCCTACAGCATTCTCGGGGATGCTCCTCTAAAAGAGACCATTATCAATTTACTTGTCTAAGTAGTCAGAACCCAAATGGGTAGGTGACATTTTTATCATATTTTTTACTTAAGAAATTTAATTTATAACTGGTTTTATTTAAATTTACAAATTATGTGATGTTTTCAGAATATTATGTAAATATTTACAAATTTTTATAATAAATTAATAATTATAAAATAATTATGCATAATTGTTATATTAAATAATAGGTTTATATATTATTGGTAAAGTATAATCTTTAATTGTAAGGTCATGTGTACATTATTTATTGTACTATATACTAATGTTATAAGGAGAAATTTTTTTTTGGTATGTTTGTTTGTAATGTATAAATTATAATTGGATAGTTTCTATCCCGGAAATCATTCTTTAAGGAGGTAAAATGGAGATGAAAGTTTGTATGGGGAATCACTCATTTTGTTAGTAAGAGATATAAAACTCATCATACCTATGTATAATATAACTTATAAGCAACTCACTCTAGCTTCGCTCGGGTTCTTTCCTAAGAATGTTTTAATGGTTAGTGTAGAATAGATAGACTACATATTTAAATATATATGTGTATAGGTATGATGAGTTGTTGTGGGTTGTATTATAACGTGTTTTCCCGTGGGAATGAGACAATCTCCTGCGGTAAAAAATAGTCTTATGTCACTGGCCAAGGGTATGAATATATCGTGTTTACTTATCTCTTATCGCCCGCAGGCCGCACAAGCGTCACCTGACGCAGCTGAACATCACGTGCTGCCAGGGCGACCTGTGCAACGCGGGCAGCTTCCCGGCGCTGAGGCGCGCGCCGCGGCCGGCCACGCGCGCGCTGGCGCCCTGGCTGGCCGCCGCGCTGGTGGCCGCGCTGCTGCTGGCCGCGCTGCTGCTGCTCTGGCGCAGGACGCACAGGTACTGGTCGCACTTGGTTTTTTTATAATGTTGGTAGATTCAGTTACACATACCACCTGTGCATGTACAGATGGTTATGTGAGGTTGACCAGCTAGAAAAGCCAACCCCGCTTTATTGGAGCGTCGCGGAACACGTACACACTCGACCACGACACCCCGACGGCAGGCCTGCCGGACCGAACCAGACTATTTTTGGGTTGCTCCAACAGTCCACTCTAATGTCAGAGAAGTACCAGGAGCAACCCACATGGCATAAATATGTTGGGACATTAACACATGGCAACATCTAGTTCCATGGTAAGCTCCGAGGCTTGTGTTATGGATACCATATAGTTGATACACTACACATATAAGTATAACTTTAAAATACATACATTTTATAAATATAAACACCCATGAATGGAGTACAAACAACGTGCTCATCACACAAATGAATGCCCCCAGCGGGACTCGAACCCGCGACCGCTGGCACAGCAAGTACGGTCACTACAAACTGAGCCAAATGTATTGTCAATCTGTTTGGTTATCCAAAATATCAGTGTTATTACTATTGCACATGGTTTTTGGTTGCAGGTTGCGTGCGTCGCGCGCCGCGCAGAAGCTGGGCGCGGACTCCAACTACTTCTCGTCCACGCTGTACTCCCCGCACCTCACCAGCGCATACTATGAAGGTATTTGGACATGCTAAACTTTATTTGTGACTCGTAATAATAATCGCCATGGTTTTGATGAAGTCTAAACTTAGATATAATTTGGCTAACACCAGTTAAAATGAATAAATTTTCTTTTAAAATCTCAACTACGACTACGACACAAATTGCGACATAAATGTCAAGGCATTAATTTCTGTACTGTTCATACTTTTACGGAATTTTAGTGTTTAGTAGTGTCTGTATATAAATGTATGGAAATTGTGTCCGAGCTGTTCACATTCCTTGCTCCACGTGAAACTTATTTTTAAGTGATATCTTCTACGCGGTGCGGTGTATTGAAATGGTCGAACCACTTGGACACATAGTGTTCACACAGACGCTAATGCGAAACCTATTATCGAGTCGCAATAAATTTCACAATTAGAGACACTCGGTGTATACACTGAGTGTACCGTGTATAATGTCTTAGTCTACCAGGGGTGCCATATAGCAGACGTTGATTTACCCTATCAATAAACCTCAAAATACCCGGTTTAACCCAAAAATGAGTTTTTTAAGTAATTTATTCATGTTTTATTATATAGAATAAAAGAAAGTACTAATGTTAGAAAAAAAAGTCATTGTAATCAGTTCTCAATTAAACAGCTTTAAATTATTAAATCAAACGTTAAAAAAACTTTCAAAATAATCCAGCTTAACTAAAACATCTGCTTTGTACTAAAATTAAAATACCCGTCAAAATTATCCGCCATCAAAAATCGCCTAAAATTACCCGCTTTTCGGGTAATTTACCCGCCGATTGGCAGCGCCTATAGTCTATACTAAGCACTTAAGTTTAACTTGATTCCTTCTATGTATCAGGTGTGGGCGTGGAGTCGTCGCAGGCGGGCGGGGGCGGCGCCCTGCAGGCCGTGGCGGCCGGCGACTCCACGCTGCGCGAGTACCTGGAGTGCTCCGTGACCAGCGGCTCGGGCTCCGGCCTGCCGCTCATGGTGCAGCGCACGCTCGCCAAGCAGGTGTCGCTCATCGAGCGCATCGGCAAGGTTTGTAGCCTAACTTACTCCTTATAACATAAGCTATCTGCCAATAAAAGTACCGTCGAAATTGGTCCAACTGTTTCGGAGATTAGCCTCAACAAACAAAGACATTACTTGTAAAAAATAATAAGTTTAGTTAAAACCTTTTACAAACACATTATAACATTTATTCCTCTTAATTACTAATTTTTATTCTATAATTTGAATTTTGACTACATTTTATTTACTTATATATAATAATATATCTATAATTTGAATTTTGATTACATTTCGGTGTAATGTCGGTAGCAGTCGCCTCATGGGCGTTAGACTTCCCGCAGTTCCTCACAAGTTTATCTATCCTTACCTTTTGACGTCCAGTCTATCCCAGCTTTATTCACTATAGTGTGTAATATGAAAAGGATAGGCAATATGCATGATTTTTTTATACAATATTGTACATCGTTATACAATTATAAAAAATATCCAGCTCCAAAAACCAAAAAGTAATATAAAAAAAAATCAAAATGTCATACCGATACTTTAAAAGCCCGCCATTTCGTGCGGTCGGCGAGACGTCACAGTACGATATAAACAGAGACATGACGACTCAATTTGTAAGCGACAAAATCGCTAATCGCTCTGTTATGGTATACTCTGACGTCATATCCGGTCTGACCAATGGTGTGCGTATCAACTGCTTTGAATTTACCCACTTGTTTTTGCACTTTTTAATAAATATTTTCCTAATCCAAAAGAAATTACATTAATAAATATTAATATAGGCATAATTCAAAAGCAATAAATATTATAAAAAAAATATATTTCACCTTTATTTAAATCACACTTATTCTCTATTAGTATCTGATTATAATAAAACACACTTGAGTATTCGGTATTCGGCCGAATAGTATCTATCTAGATATTCGGTATCCGGCCGAATAGGAAAAATATAGCCGAATAGGCCGAATACCGAATAATAGCCGAATATTCGTTGCAAGTCAAATTATTATTGATTGTATAGGGTCGTTATGGAGAAGTATGGCGAGGCTCGTGGTACGCGGACAGCGTGGCGGTGAAGATATTCTTCTCCCGCGACGAGGCGAGCTGGAGGCGGGAGACGGAGATATACAGTACGGTGCTGCTCCGCCACGACAACATCCTGGCGTACATCGGCAGCGACATGACCAGCAGGAACAGCTGCACCCAGGTGGGATGGTGTTTGTATTATAACTCGTTTGGTGTTTGCTAATTTACTATGTAACTTTATTAACAACTAGCGACGTATGACTGTAGATATGTTTTTTGTTTTTTTGAGCGAAACCCTAATTCTTTTTCTAAAATACAGCTAGCTTAAGTAACTCCTTATAACATCAGCTCTCTGTCAGTGAAAGTCCCGTCTTAATTATTTAAGCAGTTTCGGAGATTAGCCGGAACAAACAGACAGACAAACAGACAAAAATTTAAAAAATTGTGTCTTTCTGATAAGTACCATATATAATTTCATATGCATTTAGTAAAACGCTGTTATTTTGACATTACAAACAGGCACTTCAATTTTATTTATCTGTATAGATTAACGACTCACCCTCGCTTCGCTCGGGTGCGTATCTAGTTAAGTTTTGATTTTTTTGAGTGGAACTGTAATTCTTTTTATAAAATAAGTAAGCCTCGCCAAAATCAATCCTGCCATTTCGGAAATTAGCCTGAACAATTGTTTTTTTTTTTAAGTACTGTATATACTTTCATATATTTAGTAAAACAGTAAAACAGCTGTTATTTTAACACAGACATTTCAATTTTATACTATTCTTTATTGCACTTAAAAAATACAGTAATTAAAATACAATGTCTGTTTGCAAATGTTATCTCTAGAAGAGATCTCTTCCAGTCAACCTATTGTAGTGAGAAATAGTGTTATAAAGCAGGCTAAAATCGTGCTATAGTTTTATTAATTTGTATATGTCATAGACAATAGACAATATATGGCACTATGGTTAACATATTATTTTTATGTATAGTTTCGTTGAGGAAATTAAAAAGTTTGGTTTGTGTGTTTAAAAGTCTTATGCATTTATGTTTGTAGTAACTGGGCAACCGAGCTTCGCTCGGAGTTCTTTTTTTTATATTTGTTGTTATATCGAATTTTTTAGTTAAAAAAAAAACTCAAAAACTTGAATAAATACAAAATAAAAACAAAAGTAAAAACTTTGTATCACATCATAAAAAAACATCATATGCATTTTTTTTAAGTAATTTTTAACTACAAAACTTAAGTACAATTATTTTTTTTAGTTATGGCTGATAACCCACTTTCACCCGCTGGGCTCTCTGTACGAGCACCTCAGCAGGACGACGCTCACCAGACACCAGATGATGCTGATTTGCTTATCCACTGTGAACGGACTGCTGCATCTACATACAGACATACACGGGACACAGGCGAGTTTACATATCGTTTTATATTATTGAAAACTACGTTTAAAAATACCGACTTCAAAAACTAAAAAGTATAAAATAACTTAATAAAGATTTAATTTAATACACCTGTTATCCAAACCTAATATGGTTAATATTAATAAAATACTATTATTTGTATGTGCTACCTATTGATAGGTTTGAAGTCGGTGCCTATAGTATAGATTTCTCAGATCATAGAGATTGAGGGATGATTTCCGGGATAAAACTATCCTATGTCTTTCCCAGGGTCTCAAATTATCTTCATACCCAATTTCGTCTAAATCGGTACAGTAGTTTCAAGGCTTATTCGGTACAAACACACAAAAAATCTTTCCTTATTAAAATATTAGTATAGATTAGCGGCTCACCCTAGCTTCAATTGGGTTTGTCCCTAAGTACCCTTTGACGGTTAGTGTGTAATTGATAGACTATATATTATATATAAATAGGTATGATGTGTTGTTGGGGGTTGTATTATAACGTGTTTACCGTGGGAATAAGATACTCTCCCGCAGTAAAAAGTAGCCTATGTCACTCCAGCCCTCCAACTATATCCATACAAAAAATCACGGCAATCTCACAAATCACTCTTTCGAGGTGAAAGAAGGACAAACAAACACACTTTAATATTTATAATATTAAGTGAGATAATTATTCTTTTTTTGTATTCTTCAGGGTAAACCAGCAATAGCTCACCGAGACATCAAATCAAAGAACATCCTAGTGAAAGTGAACGGAGAGTGTTGTATCGCAGACTTGGGCCTGGCAGTGACTCGACAGCATGTGGCCAGCAACCAGATGCAGAACCCGAGACAGGGCACCAAGAGGTACATGAGCCCGGAGGTTTTGGACCAGAGGTGATTATTGCTATTTGTCATGTCAAATTAAGGGTTTTGATTTTGCATAATAATAATTTCCCTCAGATATGCAGTTTTCCTCAAGATATATATTCTTTTACCGTAAGACAAATGGTAGTCATGTTGGAAATGATTTGTACATGCATATATCAGAGGTGCGAGATCCGGGATTTGAACCCGCTTCACTCGGTTTCCCAAGCGAGCGCGCTACCACTGGGCTACCTCTGACATAATATGCCTTAATAAATAAAAATAATACGAGTAAGGCTAACAATGGCGTGTATTATAAAATTCGGTCCACAATAGGGAATATGCGTGTGATTTAAATAAAGGTAAAATATTTTTTTATTTATACCATTATAATTATATATATAACTTTTGAATTATGCATATAAGAATATTTTTTAATGTCATTCTGATGTCTTTTTTAATAAATAGGTCAAATATAGGTGGGAAATTGAAAGTAGTTGAAACGCACGCCATTGGTCAGACCGAATATGACGTCAGAGTATATCATAACAGGGCGGTTAGCGATTTTGTCGCTGCAAATTGAGTCGTCATTTCTCTGTGTATAGCATACTGTGACCTCACGCTGAGCGGGCGAAATGGCGGGCGTTTAGAGTATCCTTATCGGTTATGTTTTTTTTAATACAAAATTTTAGGTTTTTGTAATTAGAAATCGGCTCACTCTTGACCTTCATCTCAGCTTGAAGGCACAGATAAGGTCTACGATCTAGCGAGTTTACCCAGAAGAAGTTTTTTGGAGATAGATATTTTTTTTACAATAATATAACGATGTAAGCTATAAAATATACAAAAAAAACGCGTAAACCCTATTGTGTAATATACACAAATTTATACACCTCATATTGAGTACCTTAAACAATGATAACAATTTCCTTCCAGTATGAACCTTCAATGCTTCGAGGCGTACCGCAAGTGTGATATCTACGCCTTTGCCCTGGTGCTGTGGGAGGTTTGCAGGAGGGTGAGTCCGGCCAGGGAGCACCGACCACCCTTTAGCGAGCTGGCCCCCTCCGATCCCAGCTTTGATGATATGAGGAAGATCGTCTGCACTGATAATGCAAGGCCCCCACCACCAGATGATCCCCACCCTGTGAGTATCTAAATAATGATGACACGTTTGGCTCAGTTTGTAGTGGTCCTACTTGCTGTGACAGCTGTCTCGGATTTTAGTCCCGCTGGTATTCATTTGTGTGATGAGCACGAATGTTTGTACTCCAGTCATGGGTGTTTATATTTATAATATGTACCTACATATATATTTAAAGTGTGTAGTATATCTACTATCTGGTATCCATAACACAGGCGTCGTAGCTTACCATGGTATTAGATTTTGTTGTGTGTTAATGTTCCAACATATTTATGATTTACTTATATATAACTATAAATTAGCACGAATATTTGACATTTTTAATAAAAGTATTTTTTCGGATTTCTTCGCGTATTTTGTTTTTATTTCAAATGCAGTCCTTGTTTTTGTTGAAATTAAAATAAAAGGATTTTTATGGAGACCAATTTTATACAAGTTGAGGAAAAAAATATTTTTTTATATATTTATTTTTGGTCTTATATAAATAATATCACAGAATATTGTAGAAAGGCAATTATAACAAAATAGAAATGTTTAACAATGTTTATTGCCCGGTAATACTATTTACAGTGACATATGACATGACAGATTTTTAGAGAAAAGAAAAAGTAGGCATACAACAGCCGTAGGTTAACCGTGTTCATACAATTAAATTATATAATATTTATCATTTTTTAACATTATCTGCTTGTAACAATAGCAAAATGACTAATTTCTATATAATCCTCAATCCTTGCATGTAACTTATTTATATTCAAAAATGGGGGATAGTTATATTTTGTATTAAAGTAATGTGCTTAACAAAATGAATTTATAAATATTTATACCAAAACTTATTTTGTATTTATTTTGAATATATATTTTTCAGACAATGGTGGGCATGGCAAATCTGATGCGAGAATGTTGGCACCAAAACGCCTCAGTTCGGTTACCGGCTCTCAGGATCAAGAAAACACTCCTCAAGCTGGCTGCCAACGACAACTCCATACGACTCAATGAAGACAATGAAGTGTATGTGTGAAATGAACAAAGTGACTTTCAGTGAATTAGTGAAAAAACACTGTAATCTTATAATATTAGTACATATTGTACTTTTAAATTGACTTTGGTTACGCCAAAACAGATCCCACTGAATAAATTTGTTAAAAATGGCTATACCATTTTATTAGTATCATATATTTGTGGCTCTGAAATATGCTTTATTAACATCTCACTGCTAGGGCTGGGCCTCATAATGCCCTTCATCACCATAAGACTTGTGGTAATCATGTTCGAAATGTTGTACACTTGTAAATATCAGAGAGCTTTGAACCCGCTTCGCACGGTTTCCCAAGTTTGTTTGGTTGCCACTGGGCTACCACCCGTCTCAAATATGCTGAATATGATCAAATACAAACTATACAAGCTAATTTCAGCGTCACGAAGATTTAATACTATATAATAGTTTTAAAGCCATTTGATGTGATGCTTTGGATGATAAAAATGAAAGATTTTATTGAAATGGTTGATATTTCATGTGAATATATATAAATGTTTATTAGTGAATGCAAATTTTTATTTTTGAAGTTATATTTCTTTTGGCACATTTAGAAAAAATTATGAGGGTAAAATTTTTACGACGCGCGCGCACACCGACAGCCAAAAAGCGACATGATGAAGTTAGGTGAAAGCGACATGATGAAGTTATCTGCATTCGTTTTACAAACAGAGTTGCGACCTTGAACGACTAATTCGTTCATAGTTGCGACATACGGGATGAAATCTTTAGCTATTTTTGTTCTGTTACGCCAAAGAAGTATAACTTCTTACGTGCGTACATAAGTACACACACACTTTTTTTTGCAGAAAAATGTATTTAAAAAGTGACAAATTTAAAATGTACGGCCGTATTTTGGAATTGAATGTACTGATGTTAGCGAGTATGTACAATTGTAATGTGTAATTAGACTGCCGTTAGTTTTAGTTGTAAAGAAAATTTTATAATATTAAATATTGTATGTTTAAAGCAGGACTGGATTTAGAGGAAGGACTTATTGTTTAAATATTTCTTATTTTTTACCCGAGAGTGGCGAAGCCCAGACGGGGTTGTGTTTATTGTTGCAAGTATTAAAAAATTATAATTTCAATGACAATTAATGATGTTAGTTTAACCACAAATGCCAATCATTATCACCTCCAGGTAAATTTCTAAGAAATTAATTAAATTTCTAAGAAATCTATTGTTAACTGTAACGCCGGCGTGTCCGCGGCCGTGGAGGGATTAATAAATAGCTAAACTCGTTATTTGATGACTCTTTCAAGTTAATATTTTTCATGGAAATTAAAAATGAAATGAAATTACATGTAGTTTAAAAAATTAATAAACATGCTTTAGTTATGAACCCAACTAAAGAAGAAAACGCTTAATGATAAAATTAATGTAATTGTGGATAAAGCGTGGGGTGCTCGATATCTGTTGTTATAAATATTCCATTGGTACGATTTCTAAAAGTAGATTTAGTATAAAAATATTGTATAAAGCACACCGCGCCTGTTTAAATAGCAGATATTATTAGTACTTTTATTAGAAATTGTTTTGTTTTCGGGAGAGACTTAAGGTTTTAGACGACTCAAAGGCATTATACTTGTTACAGACTTATAGTTACAGAAATATAATGACATATATAACATATACCAAAAATCAAAATATATCCGCGAAAAAATGCAGAAATATTCGCATAAATCTAAGAAACGTATAAAAGAGTGTTAATAGATTTTTCCAATTAAAAAACAATTAGTGGGTGATTCCTTTAAATCCGGCCCTGATCAAGCGGTACAATGATCCAGTAGAATCTTATATTTTTTGTGCCATGTCAAATTAAGTGTTTCAGTGCCTTTTAAAATCTTTATAAAAGTACTTTTGCCAATTGTTCCGTCGCATAACAAAATGGCGGCCGTGACGCCATGTCGTGCCTTACAAAGTAGCTCGTATTTAATTTTTCTTTTTTTTTATTAACCAATATTGTATATAGTTAGGTTTATGTTATTGCTAATTAATGCTATATTTTTTTAGATAATTTTAAGAAGGAATAGGTTTTTAAAACATACATGTCTTTTAAGAAATATGTAGTTGTATGCAATTTTTTTTTCTTATAAAATCTAAGTTTAGATTTATTTTATGTGGCTTTAATAGTCGTAGACAATTTTGAATGACCCAAAAAAAATCATTGCTAATACTCAAATGAAAGAGCGCTTTTAACATATGAAAAGAATGTATAGATAACCATAGCTAATTTTAATGTAAATATCTATACATTGTTATATAAAGTGCCGACTAGTATTGTAATATGTAACATATATTGTATATAATATAATAAATTAGAAAGTCTGTTGTTACATAGTTTAATTATAAAAAAAACTCGCCATAAAGAGTTCATGCATTTTAAGTAAATGGATCCTCAGGCTTAAGAATTTTATAGACTGAGTCAAAACAATGTCGAAGTCAAAAATAGTAGCGTGATTTGCTGTTTATACTACTATTCTAGATTTTGCCATACAGATCGTTTACTTCGTTTAAAGAATAAGGGAAAATTTTATATCTGTATTTGTTAAATTAATATGCAGTTTTTGTGAATAAAATGTGAATAATTAATAATATTAATTATTAATATTCTTTTGTAATTTTTAAGCATTAGTTCTCTTTCCCTTGAAAGAGATAGCTTAATAGTAGGTATTTTTTTCCCTTTATTGTATTAAAATCCGTTAGCTATTTGTATTTATTAATATTTATTTACTTAGTTCAAAATAGTATACAAATGACAATTTTTATAATTGTCATTTGTATACTATTTTGAAGCATTATTTGGCTTCATGTTTAGTTCTATGACACACTGTCTGTATGATGCCTTAGTCTGGGGCGGGAACTTTCATATATAAAAATTGTTTTGACCAAAATTTCTTTTGTAAAGCATTAGTTTTTTTAAATAAAATTATTACTTTATATAACATATACTTTTAAACGGTACTTAATGGAAATGTTTAAGTTTATATTGGAATTTGCATTGTGACTGTAAAAGTGACGCATTTTTAGCTTTAAATTGATATCGTTTCAACGTTTTTTAGATTTTTATATTGTTTATTAGAATCTCTTTTGCGATGAACACTCGTTAAATTAACACTAGCTGTGTATTTTATTATTAAGTTTGAAATTGCTGTTTTATTTAAATAATATCTGCATTTATTATTGGACCCAGTTATGCAAAAAACAGCCATGTGCGTAAAAGTACCAACAGAGTTATAATAATAAGCATTTTATTATAAAAAATAAAATAATTATAAAAAATAAACAATACTTATATAAATATTGTTCAATTTTAAAATAACCAGAAACACATAACATAACCCAAGTGCAACTATCGACAGAAAAAGGCGTCGTTTTTTGCATAACTGGGTCCTATTGTGTAATGACATTGTACATACATATAGAAATGTTTGTGTATATGTTGACTTGAGTTGGTTCATTTCATATAGATATGGTACTGTACTTTTTTATTTTTTTATAATAACGTACTAGATAAATCGGTGACAAAAATGTCCTCACCGAATGAGCGCTCGTTTGAACATTTGAGCGCGCTTTTTTTTTTTGAAAACAACTTTAAGTATTGCATTTAAGGTTCAATTTATATTGTTGTATATTTATTTTAACTAGAATAATTACCTAAACACAATTGGTGACAGTTTTAAGAGAACTTTTGTATGGGATTGTGTATCTATTACTTTTTTCCATGATCACGGGTGGAATGGAATTTTATAATTTGTTTATGTTAGATGAGTTGATTTTGTGTCCATTTTATTATAAAAATTGAACTTATAATTTTTAACTATATAAAAATAGTACACATGTCTGTATGGAATGTTTATAATATTTATAACTAATTCAATATGTATTTTAGAAAAAGACAATAACAAATAGTATGACCTCTTATAAAGTGCTCGCTGGTTTTAAGTTTATGCCAGTTTATGTTCAGCTATTATAAATATTGCTGCCTTCAAACTTAGTTTATGTACTGATTTTTTCTATTGTGTTCATATTGTAAATATTAGCGTAGGGATAGAACAAGTTGACTTACGTTATATAAAATTAAATATTTGTCTATTATTTTTGACTTTTTATTAATCTTTCCCTATAAAAGTTGGCCGTCACAGACGCCCTGCAGATGTGGCACATCTATGTCAATATTAGAATTTATAGTTAATAAAAATCTGTAACGAAATATGGAGTAAAATAAATAAAAAATGGTTTCGTTAATAAAACTAATTTATTTTTCTTATTATTTTATTTATTATAATAATTACAGAATATATATTATAGAGATGAAAAGGGTCTGGTAACTATCCGGTATCCGGCCTTATTTTACAAACCTGCTGGCTATCGGATATTTAAAAACTACGTTTTATTTCTTTAATAGTACAAAAAAATATCTGTGAGGTAAATGCAAAATTATCTTGTAAAGGCACAGTACTTTCTGACCACGTTGACAAGTGTGGGTACGTTGGTACTAATTACCGATGTAATTATGAGCAGAGCAAGAAAACAATTCATTAATGACCCCGGAATAAGCCTTAACATATGGACTTATCATATTACGTTACATGGCTTATTATCCGGCCATCCGGCCTTACAGCTCGCCGGATATCTGATATACGGTATCCGGCCATACAACTATCCGTTTCATCACTAATATATATTCATAAACAGAATAGAAAATATTTAAGTATTACAATGGAACGTGTATATTATACGCGCGCACACACAAGGGAGTCAAGGGCGTAGATGGGCCATAATGATACGACAGCGTCACGGCACCGTTTGCCGTCACACCACCGCCACGCCAAGGCGCGTCTATAGATGTTTCACATCAAAAACAGAAAAGAATATAGTAAAATTTTTTAATATTCATATTTTCTTCACAAAATAATGATTTATACCTATTTCCCTTATTCTTTAAAGAAAGTAAACGATCTATAAGGCGAAATCGAGAATAGTAGCATAAACAGCAATTCAGGCTTTTTGGATTTTGATATTTGTTTTGGCGCACTCTGTATGTATTCTTTAGTCTGGATGATAAAATCTATACATATATTAAAATTGTAACTAAGTCGAATCTGTACATTAAATATTTTTTTGAAAATCAAATTGAAATAGTTATTAATATTTATACAGAGACCGAATCTATAGTTTTTAGAATTTTTGTCTGTCTGTTACCGCATCACGGAAAAACCATTGGAGGGATTTTGATTAAATTTAGTATGGTGATAGCTGGTTATCCGGGTCAACATATAGGATACTTTTTACCGCGGAAAATGTCTCATTTCTGTGAAAAAATACAAAAACTGAATTGTAAGAGTATACTAATATGTAAAACCTAAGAATTTGGTTTTTGGTCATCTGAACGCGGGCGGAGCCGCGGAAAATGCTAGTTAAAAATATATTACGAGTAAAGCATATTACTCTGTTAAAGAGTTTCTTATTGATTTGAATGTGTGGAATTAACTGTGTGAGAGAAGAATGACTTATAATACGTCGATTATCAATCAAGTTATTGTCAATATTTATCATTACTTATTTGATACAAAAGGAGTTTTTTTTATATAAAATATAAAGTTATTACTAATAATATAATATTACTCTATGAAAGTAAGGATGTGGATATAGAATAATATCTGAATGTAAGTATGATTTAGTATAAATGAAGGTAACAAAAAATACACAATATTTTGTTTAAAACATTTAATTATAAATTAATATATAAAAGCATACAATAGGTACATTAACTTAAAATAAAAGAAATGCACTGCTCGGTACGTTCGATACGATACAGACTTCCAATAATACTAGCGAGCCTCGCGCGCGGCGAGGCGTACCTGAAGTTTGCCCAAACTTTGGTATTTTAGGATTTATCATTTATGCACTCGACTTAGCCTCTAATTTCGTTGGAAATATATAAAATAGAATATTTGAGATTATAAAAGATTTAGATTCAGTCGTGGTGTTCATCCTGCGCCAGCTCCTCGAGGTCCTCCTGGTCGAACTCCGTGTCGTCTTCAGCGGTCGCCTCCTGGTACTGTTGGTATTCGGAGACCAAGTCGTTCACGTTGCTCTCCGCTTCGTTGAACTCCATCTCGTCCATACCCTCGCCAGTGTACCAATGCAAGAACGCCTTGCGCCTGAACATAGCGGTGAACTGCTCCGATATTCTCTTGAACAGCTCCTGGATGGCGGTCGTGTTTCCAATGAATGTGGACGACATTTTGAGTCCTTTGGGAGGAATGTCGCACACGGCGGTCTTCACGTTGTTGGGGATCCATTCAACGAAGAAGCTGCTGTTCTTGTTTTGGATGGAGAGCATCTGTTCGTCAACCTCCTTCATGGACATGCGTCCGCGGAAGATGGCGGCGACGGTGAGGTAGCGGCCGTGGCGTGGGTCGCAGGCCGCCATCATGTTCTTGGCGTCGAACATCTGCTGGGTGAGTTCGGGCACGGTGAGGGCCCGGTACGACTGGCTACCTCTGGATGTGAGGGGAGCGAAGCCGGGCATGAAGAAGTGGAGACGCGGGAAGGGCACCATGTTCACGGCCAGCTTGCGGAGATCGGCATTGAGCTGACCAGGGAACCTGAGACACGTGGTGACGCCGGACATAGTGAGTGATACTAAATGATTTAGATCTCCGTACGTAGGGTTGGGCACCTTGAGTGTCCTATAGCAAATGTCGTAGAGCGCTTCGTTATCTATGCAGTAGGTTTCATCTGTGTTTTCGACTAGCTGGTGTATGGAGAGTACAGCGTTGTAGGGCTCGACGACGGTGTCGGACACCTTGGGGGAGGGCACGACGGAGTAGGTGTTCATGATGCGGTCGGGGTACTCTTCCCTGATCTTGGAGATAAGGAGGGTGCCCATCCCGGAGCCGGTGCCGCCGCCGAGGGAATGCGTGAGCTGGAAGCCCTGGAGGCAGTCGCAGTTCTCGCACTCCTTACGTACGACATCTAGCACGGCGTCCACGAGTTCTGCGCCTTCGGTGTAGTGTCCCTTGGCCCAGTTGTTGCCTGCGCCGGACTGGCCGAACACGAAGTTGTCGGGACGGAACAGCTGGCCGTAGACGCCCGAGCGCACGGCGTCCATGGTGCCGGGCTCCAGGTCGAGCAGGATGGCGCGGGGGACGTACTTGCCGCCGTTCTCCGCCGTCGCAACTGCAACGAACAAATGTTACATTATAAATACTTTAATACATATTTTTTTATTAATTATTTTGTTATAAATAATGTAACCATAGTGAGATCAGAAACTTCCCTCGAAAATAACATATCTAATATTTATTCATATTTTCGGCCGAAAACGCCAAAAAGTGTTTGTGAGCAAAGCATGGTTTTTTGACCGAGAATGGCTGAAAACATAAACGAAGCTTCAGTCGGTTACTACTATTTCAATTAATTAACGCATCGCATAAGACCAACGTAAGACTTCTGGAACCTTTTAGGGTCACATTTAGGGACTTTAAAACTTCAAAGATGTCAAATAATCAAGTAAAAATGAAATCAGAAAATAAAAACCGGAATTTTTCTTATCATAGGTTGTGTTTTTTTGTAGCCGCACTTCGTAGAAAAATAATTGCATCGATTTACAAAACAGACGAGACGGCGATCGATCGAGTTTCAAAGGCGACTTGTGTATTACATTTCCGTCATTTGCAAAATTATGGTAACATGAGATATTTGTTTGGATTTAGTAGAATTATAAAAACTTGTATTAATAATAATAATATTTTTGGTTTAATTTATACAATAGTTCACTAAATAAGCATGATGTAGTTTAGTTATCGAGACTTGCTTAACAGAAATACTTAACTAAACTTGGCCCAACTCGGGACTCGAACCCAGAACCTCCGGATGTGCATTCGTACATGCTAGCCACTATACCATCGAGGCAGTGAGTTGAATGAGAGAACAAAGTTAAATCGTATTAGTAGTTTATACATTCACTTCACAGTTCAAACATACACACATTATCTATATATAATCTATATCAATATTATAAAGAGGAAAGATTTGTTTGTTTGTTTGTACTGAATAGGCTCCGAAACTACTGAACCGATTTAGATGTTTGGTAAGAAGATAGTTTTATCCCGGAAACCATCCCCTTAGGGGAGTGAAGTTTTATTAAAACGATAGAGCTAAATCCGTGAACATATTTAAAAAATGATAAAGAATTCACTTATCGAGATACGAGAACGTGAAATTTTTTAAAATATAATATAATAATAACAGCATGAAAACTTAATGCCTCTAATATCCAAAACCGCCATTTACCTATCTAAAGAGCTAAAATTCATTGTATCTGATAAGTTGGGGCATATTAAAGAAGTGAATCATGATTTAACATTCGAGCGGTCGTTGCACTGTTAATTGCGAGTGCGATGCGATGTGATGCTCGCTTGTTTTATGTTCTGTGAAATTGTTAACGGTAGCTCTAGCCAGAGGTTTGCTCTCAGTAGTGCTATTTAAGAACTAAGTGACAGTTGAATTCGAGATCATATTTCATATTCCAGCTAAATTTAATGTTAGCGGATTCAGATCTCGATTTACATAAAAGTTCTTACAGAATAGTTTTACAGGATAGTTTAGTGTGGTAACTGATTTGTCCCAATCCAGAACCTCACGATCTGCAACCGTACATGCTAACCACTAGACTACTGTAGTCAAAAATTTACTATATGATGGTTAAAGGTTCCGTGCAAGATGTTGTAACCAATAATAACATATTATTATTTATTAATTTAATAATAATATTTTATAATTATTTCGTGTAACTTGGAAACGGCTTACGGCTCTAAGGATTTGGATCAAATTTTACATTTAGATTATGTTTTGCTTGTTAAGTATATCTTTATAGGTGTCTCTTCTGAAAAGAACGCAATTTATTATCTTTCGGAAAAACGTCGAGGGAAGCCCATGTGAATCTACATATATATCCAGTAGACATCTACCTATTTCATATTTATAACTCTCTAGGTAAAGTCATATAAACACCAAATAATAGTTCTAGGTAAGACTGCAAGATGCTAAAAACTTTCTACTATAACTGTAACTATTAACTCGATACATGTACATAATCTTTTCTCTGCCCACATGGAAAAAGTTATAAGTTAAATCTATATATCATAATTAGGCAAAGACAAGACAGTCACCTTTTACTCCTTTGTTTGTCGACCGATTTTCTTTTATTTGTTTAGTAGCTATCGACGAGGTTTAGTGTTATCAATTAAAAAGTTTTTTCATAAAAAAATTATGATTTCCTCGAAATTTCAATAATGATTATGGTCAAAATTCGACACTAGACGAACACTAGTACGAACACATAATCGACTATTTCCTTCTCCTTCACCTTACGTAGTATTAATAAGAGCTCATCATGTTTAAATATATTGTTGAAAGAAATCTTTTTCACCTCCATTCTACGTGACATTGGCGAAGTTATCTGTGCTCAACTGGCACGCTTTGAAGCCATTAACAAGAAAATTGAATAAACCTCAAATGAATAACATGAGTTTGAACCCGCATCACTTGTTTTTCAAACGAGCTTGTACTACAGCTGTTAAACCTAGTTTAGACTAAGACACTACACAGAGTGTACCACTCAGTGTATACAGAGCATAGATGTATACAGAGCGTCGCTGTGTGATTTGTGAACGCGAATATCTCTAATTGTGAAATTTATTGAAATTTATGACACGATGATAAGTGTCGCATTGATGATGTTCTCCTAGCCGATACCGGTCACGGCGGCCAATCTCATTGAGACTAGCCAACTGCGCAGAAGATATTATAGTACACAAGTGTACGCGCAGACACAACGTGCACTCTCTATTCCTGTCACTAATACTCCGGTGGGACGACTGCTCGACACGACCAGTGAGAGTTAAGGCGCAGGACCGACGGCTTTCGTGCTCTCCGAGGCACGGGGGTGAAACACCGCCAACTTCCCAACTCCGGGCTGCTACTGAGACTTCTATACAGAAAGACTCAATAACTAAACATGGCCCGTCCCGGGACTCGAACCCAGGACCTCCAAGTGTGCAGCCGTACATGCTAGCCACTACACCACCGAGGCAGTTAAGTGTCGCATTATTGGCTGAGTGAACACTTTGTGTTCAAGTGTTTCGACATTTTCAATACACTTCGTCACGTAGAAGATATCACTTAAAAATAAGTTTCACGTGAACCAAGGAGTGTGAACAGCTCGGACACAATTTCCGTACATTTATATACAGACACTATTCAACACTAAAATTCCGTAAAAGTGTGAACAGTACAGAAATTAATGCCTTGACATTTATGTCGCAATTTGTGTCGTAGTCTAAACTTAGCATTATAGTAGCAGGTTCAATCCCATTCATTTATTAGGAACCACGAGTTTAATGGGTCTCTAAGTGCTTCCTTGCTCCGCGTCCATCTTTCATCACGTTTGTGACCATTTATTAAACGTAAGTGGAATTTAGGCACTTACGTTGTTAGTGACCGAGTTATTTATTGCATCTAATTAACTAGATCAGGACGACCGCCGCTTTTGTTTCTATTTTAGTACTTCAATGTTTGAATTTTCATAATATGATGCCGGTAAGTACTGTTCCTACAATAGACCTAGGTTTGCTAGTGGGACCTACTCGTAGGTTGCGAAATGTTAGACGCTAGTTCTTATTGTAGTCAATACTAAAAACAATGCAAACTGCTGAATCGATTTTGACAAAAATGTTTCGATAATAGGAAGCTACATTACCGTCGCCAACCCGCACTTGGCCAGCGTGGTGGACTATGGCCAGACCCTCCTCGTACTGAAGGGAGGCCCATCCCCAGCAGTGGGACGTTAAATACATACATACATACATACATTACCGTCGAGTACTTAAGACTATTTGTACTTAGGGTCAGAATATGTTTACGGTCAGAATCCATAATAACTATATGTAATAGAAGTCGGACTAAAACTGGATAATCGGTTTAAAATAAAGCAAATAAAAGGACAACTAAGGTCACACCTAAGCGAAGTGAGTGGAGAATTCTATTATTTTGAACATTCCTGTTTGTTTGAAGATTCCTTCTAATAATTGAGAAACATTATAAGCTATCTAACATCATCCTTAGCGTAGCAATTATTCATATGTAAACAACGCAAGCATCGCCGCGGGCAAGCGCTAGTATCAAAGAAATTGAGATAATCCCGACAATAGTGTAATACTTTCTTAGATTTACGCGAATATTTGACATTTTAAATCAAACTATCTTTTCGGATTATTTCGCAGATTTATTTTGATTTTTGGTTCCCGACGTTTCGAATGCTTTACAACAATCATGGTCACGGGAGAGACTGAGGTGTTAGATGTCTCAAAGGCGTTTTAAACTTGTTACAGACAACACCTATCCACAAAATTATCATTCATCATTGTAATGATTTAAAAAAAATACAAAAATGGCAGCAAAGTACCTCCTGGTACCTACTAATATTTGTTAATTTTAATTTTAAACAATTTTTATAATTTCAATGTAATATAAAGTTTTATAGTTGGATATTTAATATTAGTTAATAAACTTACTTAGTGTTGCTACGCCGGCAACCAAAAAAAAAACAACGTGTGTACTTATGTACGCACGTAAGAAGTTATACTTCTTTGGCGTAACAGAACAAAAATAGCTAAAGATTTCATCTCGTATATCACAACTCTCTGTTTGTAAAAGGAATGCAACTAACTTCATCATGTCAAATTTTAGCTGTCGATGTGCGCGCGAATTGTAAAAATTTTACTCTCATATTTTTTCCAAACGTGCCAAAAGAAGTTATAACTTCAAAAATCGCAGAAAATAACCGAAAAGATAGTTTTATTTAAAACCGACGATAGTAGTTCTAGCAATGCTAATCTAACGCCACGGTCCGCCGCCGACGCCGGAGTACAGTTACCGCATTTGCAGTTTCCACGCACGAGGTACATGCCCGTGAGAATATATTCAGAATTGTTTGATCCGCTTACTAATTACTTTATAATTAATATCCGGAATTAATTTATCTATACTAATACTAGCATTGCCCGCGGCTCCGCCCGCGTTCAGATGACCAAAAACCAAATTCTTAGGTTTTCTTAGGTACATATTAGTAGACTCTTACATTGCAGTTTTTGTATTTTTTCTCAGAAATGAGGCATTTTCTCGCGGTAAAAATTATCCTATATGTTGACCCGGATAACCATATATCACCATACCAAATTTTATCAAAATCCCTCCAGTAGTTTTTCTGTGATGCGGTAACAGACAGACAGACAAACAAAAATTCTAAAAACTATATGTATTCGGCCTCTGTATCGATAATAATGTCTATTTCAATAAGATTTTCCAACTAATATTTAATGTACAGATTCCGCTTAGTTACAATCGCCAAAAAACGTTTGAAGGAAACATTATTGGCTTGGGGGAAATTCGCGAAGAAGTTAGTTAATGTATGAGTATAAAGTTGTCGCGTTGACTAGGTCATATAATCTATGGTCATCATAAATCCTGAGGTCCCGGGTTCGCGTCCCGAGTCGGGTTTTTGAGTCAAGAAATTCTCTATATAACATCTTCAGTTGAGAAGTTGGCGGTGTTACACCTCCGTGCTCTCGGAGATCAAGTGAAACCGTCGTTCCTACGCCTGATCTCTCATCGGTCGTATCGAATTGCATCCTACCGGACTTTCAGAATGAAAGGAAAAGTTTATACTAATACTAGCGACTCACCCTCGCTCCGCTCGGGTTCGTCCCTAACGTGGGCCACCCTTATCACTTAGGGGTATGGAAAATAGATAGTAGCCGATTCTCAGACCTACTGAATACGCATATAAAATTTGGTAAAAATCGGTAAAAACACAGGAGGAGTACGGTAACTAACATTGTGACATGGAAATTTTATATATTAGATTTTAAAGAGAAAGAGATTGAACGCGCTAATCTAAGGAACTACTAATCCGATTTAAAAAAATCTTTTTGTATTACGTAGCCCGTTTATCGAGGTATATTCCTCGATATATTCTAGTATAGGCTATATATCATCATTCTACTACCCAAGGGAACGGAGCAGAAATCATAAATGTCAGCAAATTGGGCAGACTTCCATACATTATTGTACAACTGATGGTTTATATTGGAAGTTAAAACGCGGGCGAAATCGCGGGTACTGCTATTATCATATACTTAGATAGCTAGATTCGACAAGATTGATGGCAAAAATTAGGCAAGAGGATATGGATGGTGTGTCCAAAGTGGCCATATTTAGCCATACACTTACCAGAGGCCTCATTGTAGTACACGGAGATACGTTCGAGTTGCAAATCGCTAGTGCCGCGGTACACGCCGGCGGGGTCGATGCCGTGCTCTTCGGATATGATTTCCCAGAACTGTTGACAAAGAAATTTTTATTAGATAAGTTTATAACAGTAGAAAATTGACTAATTACACTTTTATTTTTCTTATTAAACAAGGATATTTATCTATGAATTAAATCACTATATTCTATTTTTATTAGTTTTTTTTTGGTACTTAATTTAATTTTATATAACTTTTATTATTTTTACTTAATTATATTACATATATTGTTAATGTTTTTTAATAATGATATTTTATTTATATTTTAATGCACGATGTGGTGACTTGTAAAAAAAGTGCATTTATCTCTAACTTTGTATGTGTAATAAATAACGAATGAATTAATGTCACTGTTGTTATCCTAATAAAAAATAGAAAAAAAAAATTTATCATCGGGAAAGCTAGCTTAAAATGATTAAATCATAAGACATTTTGTGGAAAAACGGTGACAGGGACGGATCTACAATATGTGCTGCATCCCAGGGCCCTGAAGATATAACGGGGCCCCCGTTGTTGAAAATAATGGATAATATTGTAAATTTACAAAATAAAATTATATCTGAAATACAAGATACAATAAGTTTGGCCTAAGAACCCTGATAACAATTAAGAACCAAACAATAGCGTTATTTTAATTTCGTCTAATACTATCTATCATTATAGACAAAATGACAATTAGGCCCCCAAAGAAGTGTTAGCTAAGGGCCCCTCAAATTGATGTCCGCATTCAACACTACAAACGAACAGCGTTTTTGAAGACCAACAATATAAATGGTAAAGTTTACAAAAAGATATTAATCCCTCAACGACCGAGGACACGCCGGCGTTACAGTTAACAATATATTTCTTAGAATTTTAATTAATTTCTTAGGAATTTACCTGGAAGTGTTAATGTTTCATGAATATGATATACATATTACATAATATTATGTACATATGTATGAATGTGTGTGCTGTGCGAGTTTTATGCCCTAAAAAGAACTAGTGCTGAAGTAACTACCTGACGTAAGTATGGACGTATGCATTCGCCCTACTTTTAAAACAATCATATACGAGCACTTAGATCGGCGCGGCGGTGTGTATGACGTTAGTGCCTAGCGTCCTAAATACTTACTGGGTAATGGATGACTGTAGCCATCTAAAATTTTAACTTTTATCGAACGCGTTATCGCAATCCATACTGATATTATAAATGTAAAAGTGTGTTTGTTTGTATGTTTGTCCTTCTTTTATGTCAAAACATAGTGGCCGATTGGTGTTATATTTTGGGTGTAGGTAGTTGAGATGGCATTTTTTTGGGCATTTTCATGCTTTTTGATTTGTTAGATTTGTCTCCAGCCCCGAATAGCAGAATAACTATTAAAACCTCGGAAAAATCACAAGAAAAAAAAATTAAAATAAAATCTATTCAATAGTAAGCGTCAAAACGTACCTAGGGACGAACCTGGACGAAGCGAGGGTGAACCGCTAATCTATACTAATATTTTAGAGGTAAAGTTTGTGAGTTTGTGATGTTGTAGGGAATAATCTCTGGATGTACTGAACCGATTTTGATGAAATTTGGTAAGAAGATAGTTTGAGACCCTGGGAAGGACATAGGAATATAGGACTTTTTATCCCTGAAATCATCCCTTAAGGGGATGAAAGTTTGTATGGGGAATCAGTATAAAGTTAAGTATAAAGATAAACCTGGAGTAGCATATTGGCAGCTGAAAAAGTACTATAACAATAATAATAATTACAATAATAATCATTTAATTAGTAATTATAAATTATAGCTTTATGAACGAGTGAGTTTTATTAGTGTTAATTCCACATTTTTGCAGAGCACTGATATGATTTGCGTAGAGAAAGGTAATAGTATAAAGATTGATAGTGTTGTATTTCTAACCTAGCACATTGAGTCATTCCCGTGGGATATGGAAAAAATTACATAGTGACGTGCTTTAGTTAATATATTATATAAGATTAATTTCCGTCGAGTTTTGTTTTTGTGCGTTTAAATCTAAATGCACTATATAAAATGTCTGTATCATATATGGGGATAGGTACCATAGTACATACATATATTTTCCTAATTACATTAATCGTAAATGTTCTTGTTTGTTGCAAATAATCTTGGATAGTTGACTAAAGGTATTTAGATGACTAAGCTTACAGAATAATAATTAATTAATATGGATTAGACTGTTTCTTAAAATTGACCACTTCCTCTAAAATCATTAGTTCGTTTTATTTTATGAATTTAAGTTTTTTTTTTCTTTAATGGCTTAGAGTTGCGTTATCAGACGCAAATCGAAATACATTCTGCCAGTGTAATTTAAGCCTTAAAGATTGTTAGTAAATGTGAAACATTAATTTGACGTTTGCTAAACATATTTATCAAATCAAACTAGCATTGCCCGCGGCTCCGCCCGCGTTCAGGTGACCAAAAACCATATTCTTAAGTTTTACATATTAGTATACTCTTACATTGCAGTATAAGGTACGACCATGCAAAATTTCATTTAAATCGGTCCAATAGATTCCGAGATTATTTAGAGATTTAAAATTTAAAAAAAAACTGGATTTGTTCTATTTGTCTTCTTACATCCCCCTAACTCGGTTTTTAGCATTTTTTTGCTATGTACAGAAATTCGACCTCTACTGTTTTATTATAGTATAGATTAAGTGACGTAACGTGGTGTTGCCTTAAAATATTAATTTGTCTGTTTTTCTTGCTATTACTTTCTAACTTGTGGTCGTTTGGCCTAGATCAAATGGCAAGTGGTCACCGCAATCCTTAGGCATATACTGTTATGTGTGGTCACATGAGTTGTTACGACACTATAGAGTTTATTATTGAATGATTGCACTGAAATTGCAATTTAATGCTATATTGTTCTCAAAAATAACTATGAACTTGTTAACAATTTCTCGGAGATGGGATATTTTCCCGCAGTAAAAAGTATCCTTTATGTTGACCCAGATAAACAGCTATCATCATACTAAATTTCACCAAAATTCCTCCAGTGGTTTTTCCGTGATGCGGTCACAGACAGACGAAAATTCTAAAAACTAAAGTTCGGCCTCTGTATCGATAATAATGACTATTCAATAAGGTTTTCCAAAAAAAAATATCTGATGTACAGATTCGACTCAGAATTTTTTTTCTTATATGTATAGATTGCAATACGCTCTTACTTACATTTATACTTCTATTAAAAACAGCTGTTTTCACAATACGAACGTTTGGCATATATTTCAAATAGAACTCAACTCAAAACAATTGAAATATTGATGATGACGATTCATTTTACTAATTACTGTTTGACCTCACCCGACTGATATCATTCATTGTACCGAATAAAGTTATCAGTATTAAGAAAAGTCTGTACATATAAAAAATTGTAACTAAGCCGAATCTGTATATTAAATATTTTTTGGAAAATCTTAATGAAATAAACATTATTATCGAAACAGAGGCCGAATCTATAGTTTTTAGATTTTTTTGTCTATCTGTCTGTCTGTCTGTGTGTCTGTTACCGCATGACAGGAAAACCACTGGAGAGATTTTGACGAAATTAGGTATGGTGATAGCTGGTTATCCGGGTCAACATATAGGATACGTTTTACCGCGGGAAAATTTCTAATTTCTGAGAAAAAATAAAAAAAACGGCAATGTAAGAGTATAGTAATATGTAAAACTTAAGAATTTGGTTTTTGTATTAACTGATAGCTAAGATCGTGCAAGCGAATTAGTGGGTGGGTTTATATTGAAACGCACTAAGCCATGTTAAAAGTTTTAAATCTGTATGCTACAGTCTAAAATAGATTTAGACTTACCTATTGGTTTATATTGAATATTTCACGTCTGATTAACAAATAATCCAATTTTCACTTTCCAAGATGTCCTACAAACACTGGTGACGTTTACCAACGTTCGAGTCGCGTCGCGCACTGACGCAAACTAAACAAATAACTATTTTTGTTTTTCCTCAAGTGTTTGCATTTAATTAATTGTAAAGGACGATTATTATTTCATTATAAATTAATATGTAATTAAATATTAGTGTAAAAATAAATAAAACATTAGTATTTAAATATTTTATCTAAGGGGCGTATTTTTTTTGGAATTTCAATTATTTTCCACTCCAGATTGACGAACCAGTAATTTTTACGCCAGAGATCACGTCATGCTATTTAACTGTCAATATCCATTTGGTCTTCTACATTTTACGCGACATTGGTAAAGTAAATTGTGCGTACAATATTTTTACAGGCAAAACTTATTTACTATTTAAGTATTACAATATGAAAAACCTGTGACCTAATGAAAGATAATACAACATGGTCGTAGTGGAAATCCATGGTAAAGACCTGACTAGTGACTAGTGAGCCTTTAAATAAGATGTCGAAGAGGATATATATATTCTTTATTGCATATTAACAGAGTAACACAGATAATACAGAGACCAATGTGGGCAAAAGTGGACTTATCTCTAGAAGAGATCTCTTCCAGCCAACCTATGGAAGTAAGAAATAGTGTTATATGACGGGACTAAAATAGTGCATTTGATTTAAGATAAAATTATAAATAATTATACAATTAAATAAGATAAAAAAAGACATTTTATACATTACTTACATATTATACATACTATACTAGCCACTACACCACCGAGGCAGTTACATACTATATACACATATACATACATATAAAAATATAAATATAATCGTATGCATTTGGAATACATAAAAATAGTGGATCTGATAATAAAATTAAGGACCAATTTGTGACAGAAGGTACTGTTTTAAATTTGTTTTTAAAAGAAGTTATAGAGGGGCTTTTTGGATGTATTTAGGGAGTTTGTTCCAGAGTAATGAGGCATATACTGAGAAAGAGTGCGAAAAAAAATGTGTCTTACTCTTTGGTGGAGGAGAACTTGGGTCGTTAAGAATATTGAAGAGGAAGTAAAGGATGTGCATATCACGGCGAAGTCGGATTGTTTTCTAAAGTTTAATTTTAACAATGTTTAGTTCTATACGTAAGTATCTTGACAATCTAACTGCAGTATATACTTTGCTAAAACTGAACTAGTATTGGATTAGATTAGATAATATGTACATACAAATAGGATAACCTACAATGTAAGTATTTCTGTGAAAATCGTACTAGAATATAAAACTTTTCTATATAACTTGATAATAAATAAATAATAAATAAATAAATACGTTGGGACATTAACATACAGCGCCATCTAGTTCCATGGTAAGACACGAGGTTTGTGTTATGGATACCAGATAGTTGATACACTACACATATATAAACTTTAAATACGTACATATTATAAAATATATAAACACCCATGACTGGAGTACAAACATTCGTCATCACACAAATGAATGCCCCCAGCGGGGACTCGAACCCGCGACTGCTGGCACAGAAAGTAGGGTCACTACAAACTGAGCCAAGCGTGTCGTCAAATGTCGATAGATTTCGCGTATTATGTGGAAGTCTAAAATAAAAAAAATATCAGCATAAAAAGCGTTTTATTTTGATACCTAAAAATTCACTTCTATTTTATTATGTTATTGTCGATCAATCAAAAATAAACCAACTTTTATTTTAGAAAAAGAATTAGGGTACCGATCAAAAAAAATTAAACGTACCTACCCGACTAAAAAGTTCCACAACTAAAATAGAAGCAAGCAAATCAAATCAGTAATATTTTTGAGTAATCTATGGCATAAAATTTATATTTTTAATTCAAAATATAAATATATTCGACTTTATTTATACCTCACTAGCACAAATCCTTCGAGTGACCAACGCCAGGCGTCAGCTCGAACACGGTTTGAATTATTTATATTATCAGAGATCTACAGGCGAATTCATAATCAATGATATAGGGCATGACTTCCTCATATTATGAGGAATATCCTAAAAAAAATTATATTGGTATGGCCTTGGTTTTTCGGCCGCATATATTTAAAATTATTTATTACTAGTTTTAGTCCGCGGTCTCGCTCGCATGGTAAATACTCAGATAAATAGCCTTAGATGTGAGTGTATCTAGGATAAAAGCTATCTCCATAGTCCATACCCAATTGACTCAATTCCGTTGGACAGTTTGTAATCGTAAAGAACTAACAAAC